ATAATTTAAGTACTGCACCATAAGCTGAGTAGGAGAAATGACATTTTGAGAATAACTATTTACTTGTGCTAAAACTGTAACACTAACATTTTTGGTTGTTTTAGAAAAGGTAATTTCTGGTCACATTTAAAATTTGGAAGTGATAATAAAAGCATTTTCAGCATGCAGTATTAACAATGCTAAGAATCCAATTAGCTTTTTATTTACATCTGTTATGCCACTGTGGTATGCACCATCATGTTCTGGAGACACTTCAACCCTCTCAAACAACTGCTGCTGAACATTATGAGAAACCACCACAACAATCTAGAGTATGTACTTTGTCCCACTGGGGAAAAATTAAAATATAGTTGGTCTGGTTCTAACTCACATCAGATTTCACTCCTTATGCAAATGAGTAAACAAAACTGTATCGATCTTGGCTGCTACATTAGTCAGGAGCTTCAATATTTCACATGGGGCCCACGCTTATAAACAAAAGAGGGGGAAAAAGCACATAATCTGCTAACTTGGCTATCAAGAGAGCTAATTCAAGTTTCTCTGGTTTAGGGAGGTATTTTAGTATTTCCTAGTATAAATAAACAAGATGAAAGAAAACTCCAAAGCACCACAGTTTTGGTCCAGGCTTTTATGACACTTGACTTTATCCATGGACGCTCAGTCTCAGCCCTCCACTTCCATCAATCCTGAGTGTCTATGCAAAACATTGCTTGTAATGATCCCCTTCAAACTTGAATGATGAAAGTGCACATTTTGCAAATGACACCTCAGCCAATCTGCCCCATCTGCATGAGAGATGGCAAGTGATTTCACTCTTTAGGCATTCAAAATAAAATGCACATGCGACAAATTCCAAGCTGGCAGGAAAATCTAGTCATTTAAAAAGTGATTTGTTTTCTACAACTGCAAACACAAAGGCTCCATTTATTTCCGTCGCCATAAAGAAAAACAACTGTTGTATTTTTTTTTAAGCAATCATAACCAGGACATATTGGAAATGTTTTAATTTCAAAAATACTAACTAGCAAATTAGGGTTTAAATAGTTTTCTAAAGTGGTACCATTTTAGATACAGTTTTCTGATTGATGCCATCGCTTTGCCACGCAGGAAAAGGTCTTACAACACTCTGCATATACTTTACTGCTGCCTTTTTCTTGCTGTAGTCACTAAATTTAAGAAGAAACCTAAACTACATGAATTTTAAATTAAATTATACTCATCAACAAGAAAATATATTTTACATTATGAAAGCCTGAAAAATCCCTCATTTCTATTAAAATAAGCAATGTATTTTCTCTATCCTTCTGTCTTTACCTCTTTCTCTTCATAATGGGGGAAACAGCAAATTAAGAAAATAGCAAACATAATTGATATACCCCCATCCTAAGAAAGCTTACAACCACAATTGACTTTACACAGAATGAGCTGCTTAACTGAACTCACTGGGACTATTCCCTACACAAAATATAAGCAGGTGTGTAATTCTTCGCAGCATCACAATATGTAAGGGTCACTTGAAATGAAAATAAAAATTACTTCTTATTTTTTCAGATTTCTTACTCTGTTTTTATTTTTTGAGCTATAGCAGCATCTGGTGGACAAAAAGCAAAATGCAGTTCCATCATACAATAAACGTTAAACTGCTTTAATTGTTATTGGTTTTTTTTGAAGTTAACGATAAAAAACTAAATATCAAACTTAGATAATTCCTAATAACTTTTAAGGTATTACATCTCTTATAAATGCTTTATATTCTTACCTTTTCCTCTCTCATATGACCTCTCAAGCAAGCACCTGTGTACTATGAAGCGCTGGTCATGGTGTATCAGAGGACACTGGCCCACTTTGCCAAAAGTGTACAAATACTCCACAAATACTAAGGTTGCACAGTTGAGCAGTCAAAAAATAATAATCATAAATAAAGTTGTAAAGTTACACTACAGTTAAAAAAGTAATAAAGAACTCCTGCAGGTTTGCTCTCCACAGAATCAAAGCCTAAAAAGAATTCAAAATAAATCACAAAATAGGCACTCAATGTCAAGTTAGCATGCTAGGGTTGCTGAGTGATCAGCACGCTGACAGACATTCTTTTTTGCTTCACTCATCTCCTCTGTGTTTTTTTCTAATTCTAATGTAATTGCTCTCTCCTTTTTGTTATTCCCTTTACTAAAGTATTTGCCTGATAGGAATATCTGTTTAGAATCAGCAAAAAGGTATTTAGTGATAAGAGTCAAATGCAATCATACCTGCTAAAATTGCTCGGTGTTGAGGTTAGTTTGAAGAGACATATGAATATATTGGCTAAAAGGATAACTGCTTCCTCCAAGTGACAGAAGAGCCAACAAGGGGAGGTGCTGCGCTTGGATCTTGTTATCACCAACAAGGAGGAGCTGGTAAGAAATGTGAAGCTCAAGGGCAGCTTTAGCTGCATTGACCATGAGTTCAAGTTCCTCAGGGCAGCCAGGAGGGTGCGTATCCTGGACTTCAGGAGGGAGGATTTTCCCCTCCTCAGAGATCTGCTTTGTAGAGTGCCTGAAGGGAAGAAGCACCCAAGAAAGCTGATTAATATTCAAGGATTGCCTCCTCTAAGCTCAGGAGCGATGAATTCCAACAAAGAGGAAGCTGGGCAAAAATGACAGGAGGCCTGCATGCATGAACAAAGAGCTCCTGGACAAACTCAAACATAAAGAAGAAGCCTACAGAAGGTAGAAGAAGTGACAGCTAGCCTGAGAGAAACACAGAGAAATTGACTGAGTAGTCAAGGATCAGGCCAGGAAATCTGAACCCCTGATAGAATGAAATCTGGCCAGTGATGTCAAGGCATCAAGAAAAGCTTCTATAGATGCATCAGTGGGAAAACAAAGACTAGGAAAAATTGGGGCCCTCTCCAGAAGGAAATGGAAGACATGGTTACCCGAAATATGGAGAAGACTGAGGTATTCAACAACTTTTTGCCTTGCCAACTTCACCAGCAAGTGCTCCAGCCACACAGCCCAGGTCACAGAGGGTGACTGTCCTCCTCTCATTCTGCTCTCGTGAGACCCCGCTGGAGTACTGCGTCCAGCTCCAGGGCCCCCATTATAAGAAGGACATGGCCCTGCTGGAGCAAGTGCACAAGAGATCCAGGAAGACAATCAGAGGGCAGGAGCACCTCTCCTATGAGGAAAAACTGAGAGAGTTAGCTCCAGGGAGATCTTAGAGCAACACCCTAAAGGGGGCTTACAAGAGGGATAGGGACTTTTTACAAGGGACATGGATAGAGCCATATAGCGATAGAATAAGAGGTAATGGCTTTAAATTGAGAGAGAGTAGGTTTACATTAGATATTAGGAAGGAATTCTTTACTGTGAGGATGGTGAGACACTGGAACAGGTTGCCAAGAAAAGTTGTGAATGCCCTGGAAGTGTTCAAGGTCAGGTTGAATGGGGCTTTGAGCAACCTGGTCCAATGAAAGGAGTCCCTGCCCATGGTAGGTGGGTTGGAACTAGATGATCTTTAAGGTCCCTTCCAACCCAAACCACTCTATGATTATAAAATGTTTCATCAGTGAACAAGCCATTGTATCCACCAACAAAAACAAGGAAACAAACTAAGCAACAACCATTCTTTTACTGGTTATAAAATTCTAAGACAGTATCAAAAGTTTTCAAGAAGTCAGGCAATAATCTCTAGAAACATGAGAACAGAAAACAGAATGTACTTTAGGGTGAGTTTGAAATGAAAGGATAGATTGCTAATAGTCCATCTAGATATTCAATCCTGTACTGGAAATACGGATCTTCTCTGGTCCTTCACATAGACAAATATGTATAGGACCTTCACCACCTAATTTGATGCAAGACTTTGCTAATGCAGTACTTCCCTCATTCAAGCATCATGCAGAGATTAGTAAGCTGTCCATCATTTTTTCATCTTTTACTTGAAGAAATAATTGCAAGATGCAAGTTCCTGGGCCTGGTAAGTCCATAAATCAATCAAGTCACATACTATGTATCACAGCACCACACTGCTTCAAGTTATCCACTTCCCAAACACTGATCAAGGACATGACTGTCTTCCACTGAAAAACTGCAATAGATGAAGATACTAGCAGGGAAGTAGCATGCCTGATACACACACACACACACAAATTCTGAATTTACATACACCAGCAGCTTGATTCAGGTATTGTTTTTGCTGACAAGTCCAATGCTTACTCCCAGCCACCTTCTCTCAAAAGCTCCAGAATCGGGGAATTGCCAAAAACTCCAGAAAGTCCATTACTGTTGTTTCCATTTTAATATGGCAGGTGTAACCATTCCAGCTTCACAGACATATGGGGTTCATCACCTCAGGCATGCAGAGAGAAATTCAAAGGATTTTGGTGAGAATAGACAGGGTATTGGATCCAATTAAAGTGTCTTTCCCCAGGGGAAAGCCTGAGGTAGATTTTATTCTGTGGCATACAAAGTGGTTAACAGGATGGAGAAAAAATTGTCTTAAACCTCATTTTGTCCCTCGCTTGGTGCACTTTTGTGACTTACAAGCTTCATTTCCCCAGCTTGTCTTCATGTGCTTCCCTTGAAGCTTTTCCTGCCGCATCACCGCTGCCAGGCACTGCCACTGAGGCAGAGGCCTGGTGCCCTGGGCAGAGGGATCCCATCCCAGTGCCCTGCCGATGTCCGATACATGTGCTTTATAATACACACACGCACAGGTTGCAAAAGCAGCTCTGGGCTCCCCGTTCCTTATCGCTCTTTGCCTGCAGTCATGCAAAGCGCTGCAGCAACTCACGGAGCCGAGCCAGACTTAGAAGGGGAAGGTGCTGAGGGACAGGCTCTTAAACGTAATTTTAAATTCTTATTTTATTACCACCACTACCACCACCACCACCCCAAATTCCGTGTCCGGCAACCCCGAACGCCCGCGGAGGCCAAAGCGACAGATCCAGCCCGTGCCCACGGCCTGGCGGAAGAAGCGCTGAGGCCTCGGAGCTTCCGCCCGGGTGCGGGCGGGGCCGGCACCGCCCGCCGGCACTTCCCGTATCCCGACATGGCGGAGTATTCCTGCGTGAAATCCACCAAGCTCGTCCTCAAAGGCTCGAAAGAGAAGAGGTGAGCTGGGGGTGGCTTGCCGTGCCGCCCCTGCCCCGGGGCCAGCGGCTACCGGCAGCGCGGGGCAGGGAGCAGGGGCTCCCCGCGGTGCTTTCCCGCACGCCCCTCGCCTTCCCTGGCCGCGGGAACCGCGGGGCTCCCGGCCGGGACAGGGGGTCGGGCCCTGGGCTCTCGGCTGCGGTCAGGCCGTGAGAGAGGCGGGTGGAAGGGCCGGGCCGCGGGCCCGTTCTCATTGCTTTGCGTCTCTCCCTGCAGCAAGAAGAAGCACAAGCAGAAGAAAAGAAAAAGGGAGGAGGATGCAGCAGAGCAGCTTGATATTGTTGGTGAGCAATATTCCAGGAGTTACGTGACAGAATAGAAGCTGTAGGGGATATAGCAGAAGCTGAAAAGAATGTTATAGGACTTTGTAAACTAAGTATAGTTCCTATAGAGTTTTGTAACTATTTCTTACAACATGTTATTTATATATTAGGATCTTCCTAGATTCCAAATGGAACTTAGGATGCCAATGGGATAGATTATCCACTCATGGGTTTTTAGCTAAATATGTTCTTAGATAATCAGGAACTGCTTATCCACTTGGATATCTCTTCCACCACCCCACCACCCCCAGTGGTATTTGCTGCAGGAGGAGAGACTTTTAAGCACTGTAATGCAGTTACTTTTTGAGTTAAATTGAAACTGAAGACACAAACATTAACTAGTAATAAAATATAACTACTTTTCATGACTACTTTCTCATAAAATAGAATGATCAAAGTGTGTATAGGCGTGAGCAATAACTTGTCAATGTTGCCCCTTGGCACTGTCATGTTCTTGATGACAGTTCACTTCACAAACAAAAACAGCTAGAAAGAACCACAAAATCATGAGAGATACAGATGTTTTCTGTGCATATTACGGCATAAATTTTTTTTTATTATGTGTATATAAGCATGAGATAAAATAGGGCAGGGGGAAGTCATCCTTGTTCCTGTGTTAAAGCAAATTATGAGAAAATAGGCTCTTGTGCCTTACATTAGAAGGATGATACAGACAGTCTGTATTCTGTAGCTTAGCCAGATTTCAAAAAAGTGGGAGAAATTTGGAAAATTCATACATTGATCTGTGATCCCTGACTATGTAGGACAAGACAAATAGTTCTGTGTATTGTATAAAGATAGGAAAAGGTCATTTCTGCTCATGGCAGATTAACTTGCCAAATTTATCATGTGGAAAAAAGACACCATATTCAGATTGAATAATTGAAAGTACTTATTATCTAAATCAGGTAGGAAATATTTGTAAGACAGTATACAAGGAGAAAATTTTACTGTTCCAAAAAATATAAAAGTCATAATTCTAAGTCATGCATGTGGCTAGGGTTACCTTTAACTTTAGTAGGATTCTGTGGGACTCAAATGTTCAAACACAGGTTGGCTTGAACAACTGAAGTCTCGGGATTACAGCTCACATGAAGTAATTTAGGGGTAAGATGAAATAGTGTATCCGCTTCTGTTTTGCTGGAGAAATTTTATCTTTAGAATTTCAAATTCTTCAGAGAAGACACATAAATATCATCTCTTGAACTGCTGTAATCGGAAGTTGGGATTACTTTGTTAATAAACTGTCATGGTTTTGTATTACAGGAAATTGGTGGGCTATCAGTAATTTCGGTGAAATTACAGGAACTATAGCTATAGAAATGGATAAAGGAGCTTACATCCATGCCCTCGACAATGGCTTGTTTACACTTGGAGCACCACATAAAGGTTTGTTCCCGAAAATTTGAAAATAAACAGCTTGAACAATGAAATGCCTGACAGCATAAAATTAGCATCGCTTAAAGGCAAGCAGTTTTGCAGCTAAAAACAGTTTACTACAAATGCAGTAGTTGTAGATGAAGTATGCAGATGACTTAAACCAAATGGCTACCAATCAGTTTCACTCATCTGGTTTCTTGATGGTTTATGTGTACAATAAATTGAAGTGCATTGGAGATGATTACCTGTTAAAGGCCATACCACTTGCTGGATAACAAGCAGTATAATTTTTATTAAATCCTGTAAAGTCTTTATGGTGTCATTTGAAGAGTGAAATTCAAGGTAGATGAGTTTTCAGGCTTATTGTTTGTTTTGGTACTGCACAAGAGGGCTACTAATGTGCTGGGGTAATTAGCTTGTTCTTTTAATTTGAGAGCCGTCACTCAGGCACAGACTGTTCCAGAACCGTGTCAATGTGTATGTTTCATCACCAGGGTGAGAGCAAACCAATGATGGCAATATTCTCTCATTTTGGTTTTGAGGGATGGAGAGGCTAGTAGCTTTTAGGATACTGAGCTGAGTTACAGTAGCTTGAACCATAATGCATTTTGTTAAGAAAAAAGTAACATTACAAGGAGGTTAAGGTTTTCAAAGCCACCGGGAGAATGTTATAAAACATTCTCAACTGCAAATTTATTTATGCAAGGATCATCTTTATTTCTTGTCTTGTTTTAAGCACTCTAAATTTATGAACATAAATGAACACCTGCATTGCTCTTTTAACTGTGAATACTCAAAAAGAGAATTTTAAAAGAAATAAATACTTTCCGTAGTATTTAGCAATGGTCAATGTTTAATTCTTTTTGAAACTGCAGTATGAATAGGCTAAAATATTTTATGTTTAATACTTCAGTGGAAAATACTTTAATGGAAAATTCATTCCTCAGATGATGAAGGCCCTAGTCCTCCTGAGCAGTTTACAGCAGTAAAGTTGTCTGATACAAGGTAATTCCTTTAACAATGTTTCAAGTTTTGATACTTATATTTGTTTTTTTGTGTGAGTACATGTTTTAATACTCTCTTTAAATACATCATGTAATAACAAATGTGTTTGTGACATCTTGGATGTTGGGAATTGCATAAATTAAAAACATTCTATATTTTTTTCCTGCACTTTCTTTTTGAGGATTGCTCTGAAATCTGGTTATGGCAAATATCTTGGTATAAATTCGGATGGACTCGTTGTTGGACGTTCTGATGCAATAGGATCAAGAGAGCAATGGGAACCTGTCTTCCAAGATGTAAGCTATTTGGAAAAGTTCCTAATGTTTGACTGTATTTTGAGTTAATCTATGTTGATATTTTTTATCTGTGAAGTAAAACTGCTTTGCAGTCTTTTTCATATTATAGTTTTTAATATTATGTTTTCCCAACTGCAGTGCATTTGCTATAATGGGAAGTTCTTAAAATATTTCACGTTACTGCATTTTGGCAGCTATAAGCACTTTAAGAATGGAGACTTGCTGGCTAGCTATTGAAGTACCCATGCATAAAAGAATAAAACACATTTACAGAGACTTTTGATGAATTGTACGGGATAAATGTTATGAATCAAGGATTATATGCAATCTCATTATTCTAACAATGTGGGATGTTATTTCTGCAGAAGAAAATGGCATTACTAGCAGCAAATAGCCGTTTTATTAGATGTAACGAAGAGGGAGATATAGAAGCCAAAAGCAAAACTGCAGGGGAAGAAGAAATGATAAAGGTAATCTCTTAACTTCTACAATTAATACAGGATTGGGAGGGATATTCAAACAAACAGATGTCTGTGTGCCACAATTTACTACTGTTAATACCGTTATAATTGCGTTCTGTAAGCTGTCAAGTGATTTGCCCACAAGAAAGGTAAACGAGCACCAAGACTGCATAAATTCTAAGTACTTCCAGTAGAGATAGGAAGGTATTTTACCACTCCAGAAGGGCAAGATGTTAAAGGGCAAGACAGTCTATGACTGACTACCTATTCCAGGTAGTTCTAATTAACTTGTCACGGAAGAGATGAATTATGACTGAATCAGGGACAGAGAAGGGTTTACCAGAGTGATGCAGAAGGGGAAATCTTTTAGGAGAATCTAAAAAGACTATCTTGATTTTATTTAAACATGGAAAATATATGTGTCTCTCCACATAGAGATAGGTGTCTACTAGTCAGAGCAATAATATTTTTAGATCAGTCTCTCAGTTGTCTCTGCCAAAACTAAGAACTGTAATGGTGCTCCTTTGAGATGCAGGCAATTATGTCTTACAGTAGTATAAAGGATTACTCTTAATATTCCCCATATTTTGGGCAGCTCTTGCTTTGACTGCAGTAGTCTTTAGTTAACCAGTTGGAAAGCTGTGAACTTGAAATGTCACTGTTACTCTCATTCTGTCATGAAGGATATGTTGTCATCTAACCTGTAGCTTACAATTTTAAAAATATAGATGTTTTTTGTTTTGATTGTTGTCTTTTTTTTTTTTAATTACTAGATTCGTACTTGTGCTGAAAGAGAAGCTAAGAAGAAAGATGAAGTTCCACAAGAAGACAAAGGAAACGTTAAACAGTGTGAAATCAATTACGTGTACGTACTTTTGAGCTGGTAACAGGCTCAAGTACCTTTTTTCACTTCTCTTTGGGGCCGTCTTTGGTGAAAGGGCCAAACTCCCACCCAGCCTTTTACTTGCTTTTCAAGGGAAGAAAATAGGAGAAAGCTCATGGGTTGAGATTAAGACAGGGAGATCATGTAGCAGATGCTGCCACAGGCAACAGACTCAACAGTGAAAAATTACTTAAATTTGTTGCCCACTTAATGGATTTGGATACTAAAAAGAAAAAATTAAAAAATACCACCTTTCCTTCCCCATCTCCCAAGCTCCCCCTCACTCCAGATTCCTCTACTTGCTCCCCAAAGCAGGATGGAATATGGGTCAATACACAGTGGTTTCTTTCAGCCACTCCTTTCCTCTTCCACTTTTCCCCTCTTCTGTCATGGTCTTATCCATGGACTGAAAGATATTTGCTCCAGTGCCTGAAGCATCTCCTCCCTCTTTTTCTCTGTTCTTGATGGTGATGCTGCCATTTTCCACTTTGGGTTTGGGGTTTTTTTTTCTGTTTTCCTCTGCCTGTGTGTCATTTTACCCTTTCTTAAATACATTTTCATAGAAGTTCCATTAGCTTTGCTGATGGGACTTGGCTGTGTCCTCTAGTGGGTGTCCTCTAGTGGGTGTCCTCTGTACAGCACAGGGGCAGCTCCTGTCCTTTTCTCACAGGGAAAACTCCCTGCAGCTCCCCCAATGTCAGCACCTTGCAACCTGCATCCAATACACTCTTGTTCCCTGATTTCTTATGCTCGTAGTTGAAGAAGGGGCTCTTTAGAATTCATGACCACGTAGGGGCTCATTCCTACTTAAACTACCAAAAAAAAAAAAAAAAATAGTTTTCACCTACAGAAGCCTTAGTGCAACCGTAGTACTGGGATGGTTTCCTGGATTTTATTAGGCCAGTTGTCAGTCGCATAATAGAAACTAAGACCCTTATCACTGTTTTTTTATTGAAACTCAAAATTTTAAGGACATTTCCCTTTTTATTTGTTTTCACCCCCTTACAGAAAGAAATTCCAAAGTTTTCAAGACAAAAAACTTAAAATAAGCAAAGAAGACACAAAAGCTCTAAGAAAAGCCAGGAAAGAAGGCACTTTTCATGAAATGCTGCTTGACAGGTACTTCGGAATACCAGAAATAATGTACTGATTAAAAAAAAAAACTATTGGGTGATGGAATTACAGTAAACCTGGGGTACAAAAGAGGGCTAGATTCCAGGTGGGTTGTTGAGCCTGGAATTCTTCTCTGGTGAGTGTTGTGCCTGAGTTCTGGCGTTGCCTTTTTTTTAAATTTTTTTTTCTAATCTGAATTTTCACTTCTTTAGCTGAAATTAGCTGATTTGGATTTACCTGTAAATTGATTCAGGTTGTTCAGTGTGTTTATTGCAGAGTTGTTGAGCAATTAATTTTTTTAATCCTAAAAATTAAGCTACTTTTTAACATTTTTCAATACCTATGGCCCCAGAACATTTTGGAGAGACAGAAGTTGCATTTTAAAGAGAAATTGCATTTATTGGGACTATCTTTGTGTTATCTAGTGGGAATATTTATTTTTTTCTCTCTGAACCAAGGCTTTAGAAACTCTTGAATTTTTAAAGCCTTTTGTACCATTATATGGTATAAATATGTGCATTAATTTAGTGGGTGGAATGCAGAAAACTATTTCTGATAATTGGAGTGTTGTGAGAACACTCCTGGGCTATTAATAATGTTTTGAAACAGCTAAAACACCCAGGTGTAATTGTATTTGGTCTTAATCTAAATCTTCTTTCATTCACTCTTTTCATATAGGAGAGCAAAAGTGAAAGCGGATAGATACTGCAAGTGACATCAGCTGATCCATTTTCTTCTGCATCTTTGACAGGGTCAAATTGAAAAGAAGAGTAAAATATTTTATAATTTTTTTTTATTTAAGGCATTTCTTAAGTATCTTCAGAATTATATTAAAATTTTCTCACATACTGATAACCTAGTTATAAAATCTTATTAACTGTATCACTTGTGCATATTTGACTTGTATTAAGGGAAGAAAAATTCAAGAAATTCAAGAAAAATGGCAAGCTGTTTGCCATATACCTCAAGCCCTGGGAGACAGACTGTACACTGATTTAGTTCAGAGAGAAAGCTCCCTGGCTTTTAGTGATCTTGAGGGAGAATAGTTGGTTTTTACAGGGAACTCTGTATGTAACTTGATTGCCCTCAAATAAAAACCAGCACCCTGTTACTGGGTGAGCCATGTAGGCATAGATTTTTACAAATAGCAGAAAGGGTCAAAAACATGAACTGATTGTATATGTAGCTTAGGGGCTTTTCAATGGCTGTGTGTGTCCATATGCTCTGTGACTTAATGTAAAGAAGAAGGCTATGTTGTCTTTTCCACAGTGACTAAAGGTATTGTTGGAAAAGACACACTGCACGTGCTCAGGTCTGACAGAGGTGTGAGTACAGAATTTATGGGGAGAAGGCCAAAAGCTAGAAATAAATAGATGATTGTTGGCAAATGTTCCTGGCCAGTCTGAGGAATTTTTGGATGAAAATGCAGCATAGCTGTAAGCTATCCTATCAGATTAAAAAAAAAAAAAAAAAAAAAAAAAATTTCTCCAGAGCTTCTTAGTGTGGCTTAGGACTGGGGATTAGGGCTCATTGATAGATCTTGTTGTAGGTACCATGCTACATGACCCTCCCCAGATATGTAAGTAACCTGACATGCAGCCATTGCAACATCACAAACCTGGAAGTGGCCTAGTGCCAAAACTGCTCCCAGAAACACTGAGCGAGAGGCAGCACTGCAAGGAGCAGGCTGCAGGCCAGAGTGACTATTTATTGGACAGTTCATTGCGGATGTCAGTGATCCACAATCACTGTGAATCTTAAATACATCTGAAGTGAATGTTGATGGTTGAACTAGATTGATATTACAGCATATGTTTTAAGAATCTACTGTTTGAATAAAAACTTGTCTGGTAGAAATCACAAAGATGATTACTTACAGAAATCTGCTCTGTGCTGGTGAGAAGAGTGCTGAAAGGAGTACTCAGCAGCTGAATAAGAGCCTGAGAATTACCCCGTAAGGGAACTTTCCATTTCATTTTAGTGTAAATAGGACATGCAAGGTGCACGTGCTGTAAGTTCTACTAAAGGAAAAACAGAACTGAGAGGCATCTTTGTTACGTGGCTAGGAATAAGTGAAGTAAAAAGAAATGGCAAAGCAAATGAAATGAGGCTGCCCTAAGTAGAGGAGGAAGTACTAGAATTGGCGAGGGACTGGCAGCCTTGCAGGGAATAAGGATATTATAGTAGCAGTGAGGTTGCCTTCTGTTTTGGGACTAATGTATACTACATTCAAGCTAAAACATGTTCTGAGATACACAGAAACAGTGATCCAGGGAATTCACTGGAAGTCTGATCCCAGGAAAATTAAATCAAAGGTATGAGACAACAGTTAAGATCCATGTGTGTATTTAACTGATGCTATAAGGAGTCCATTGGGATATTTTCCCATTGGAGATATTCATGGAGTCATCTTGGAGATGTGTCTTGGCAGTGCTGTTAGCACAAGGAGCTTTAACTAAAACAGAAAAGGGGAAGTAATTTGTGCTGCCTCTACTTCTGGAGGAAGGAAGAGAGGTAACACAGCACTGGATAGGTGAGTATGAGAAAGCAGAAAGGTGGACATAAGTTCTAGGTATGAGTGACACCAGCTGTCTTAGTACAGTTAGCGAGTTACCTGCACATCTTGAGAAGCTTTTTTCTTCTGACTTAACTCAGACTTTTGAAAACAGCCAGAAGAAACCTAGACAACAAAATGGGGGGTCCAAAGTATTGGAGGGGCCTCAAGAGAGAAGACATTCTGATAGGAATGCAGCAGAACAGCCACAGGCAGAGAAACATGGGTACTGGAAGATGTTAACTATTTCTTAAACTGAGAGTTTCTTTACCAGTGGAAGAACTAAAGCAGAAGCACAAAGAGGCTTCAGATGTGTATGCTGTGAATGTGTAATGTGATGATGGTATCCTTTTGTCTTCAGAGGATTTGGAAAGAGTTTTTAATTTTCCAAAGTCATAATTTATTTTGTACTGTTAAAAAATGTGCTAAAGATGATATAACAGGACCAACTTAATCACACTCTTTACCATAGTCTGTAATAGTATCTTCAGATATCTGCAAGAAAATACAGGATTTTTGTCTTATATGTATTTGTTTTCAACTGAAAATATTTTTCAGATCCTATAGAAACTGCCTGATTTCCTATTTTTGAAAGAAGACCCCCATGAAAATCTCAAGGTTTATCCTGTTATGCTGTAATTTTCCTTGTTTTATAAATCCACACATTGGTTCTCTTATCTTCTTTCAGCAGTGCTTAATGCTTTTCTACCTAAAGCTCTGTGCAATTTCCCAGCTTGTGCTCTGAGCTGGCTTCTTCCTACACACTTGCATTCCCTCCCTTGACCCAAAGGCTTTTCCACATTACAATACATTTCTTTTATCCTTTCCTGTTTCTTAATTTCTGCAGTTCCTTGCAGCTTTCCAATCAACCTTCTGCCAAGGACTTCTTTTTCTTGCCACCCCCAGTTTGTTTTGTAAGACAGTTAATTGCACAGGCAATTAAGTCATTATATTAAAGGCTATATTTTTTTTTTCTGTGTGCCTAAAAACACATGACACATCTTGGTCACTTCGTAAAGCACGACACAAGCTAAAACACAGGCAGCCTGGAAGGTTTTGCGTATTTTGCCATAGTGCTTCCCACAGCTGTTGCTAATGTATACAGTCATTAAATGTTTATTTGCTCCCACTAAAATGATACCTTTTATTGTAAGTTATTTGGAGTATGCACTTTATTTGGCTGCTGACTTGTATTTGATATTACAGCAAATATTACAATAACCTGATCTAATGGGTCGTGTCCTTGCCCAAGACAGGGAGGTTGGAACTAGATGATCTTTAAGGTCCCTTCCAACCCAAACCATTTTATGATTCTTTGAAATAGATGCCATTTATGTATAGTAATGAACAAATAACAGGCAAGGTGCTTACGGCTGGATACATCTTATGCGCTGTATTTCTCATTAGTCTGTCCCGTTGCCCGTTTCCTTCACTCCTAAGCAGGCAAGATACAGAAAAGTCTACCTAAAGAAAGAGCCTGCCTGGCATCTCCTTTACCACGAAGCCTACCTGAAATCTTCCCAAGGACACAGGGCTAATTAAAAATCCCAGCGAAGTGAAAACTGGTGCCACGGGTTTGCCCTTAGCGTTTCCGAAGAGAGGCGATTTCACTCGGGTTTCCCCGTGCGGAGCTCTCCTCCCGCGGCAGGCCGGCCGAGCGGCGGCGCCGCGGCCGTGTTAGAGATGGCGGGGCGGGCCGTGTGGGCGGCGGGAGGGCCCTGCCCCGTCCCTGCCGGGCGGGGCGGTGTCATGTGGCCGCGGCTCCGGGAAGCGCCGAGGGAATCGGGCCGGGCAGGCAGGCAGGAAGGAGGATGGCGGGCCGGGGCCGGGCGCTGCTGGTGCCCGCCGCGCTGCTCGTCCTGGCACAGCTCTCCTGGGCGCCGGACCCGGTGAGCCTGGGGCGGGAGGGGAGCCGGGGCGGCGCGGTGGGTGGGATCGCCCCCGACCCTCTCCAGGGGATGGCGGGGCGGATACGGCGGGTCTTCCCCACGCCGGAGGCCGAGTGAGCCCCCCAAACCCGCGCGTGTGGATGTGCGGGGTGTCCCGCCGCCCCACGGGCTCGGCAGCTTCCAAATGGCTCCTGCGGCGCGGCCGGGACGGGCTTTGCCACCGGTGTGTGATGCAGGTCCTTGCTCGCTCCTGCACTCGGTATCATGCGCGTCTGTAAGGTCAGTGTTGCCCTGTTACAGCAAAGCGGCGATTTCCTGAAGGAAAGTTAAGACGGGCTTGCTGGAAGTACGGACACCTTGAATCTGCTGAGGGTATTTGGTGGAGCTCACCCAAGGGGAGAAGTGTAGAGTAGGCGGGCTGGGGATGTCGTTTCTTCTTCTTTTGGCTGTTTTGTTGTTTGGGTTTTTTTAAACTGAATAAGTGAAATGTTTAACTTTTGGCGGAATTGTGAAATTGGGATGGGGCAGAGGTAGTTACTTGGTAGTTACAGGCTGGCTTCCATCTTCTGGGCATGTAAACAGGTGCTGTTGCTTCCTGGTGTATTTTTTATTCCTGAAGTAGCGAAGCATTCTTTCATCTCTTCAGTTCCTGAATCTCCTCGTCTTCTCTGAAGAGGACAGGTTATAAATATCTCTGGATTTCAAAATAATATTTTGCAATCTATTTTTAAATATTTTGAGAACATCTACTTCCTTTGCTGTAAGACTTTTCCTAGCAAATGATACTGATTTTAGGAAAATGAGTGTGGAATTTATGAGAGAGGAGAACTTCAGGAAAGGACTGTAGACATCTGGATGACCCATGTTCCCTTAGCTTCCTGACTACACAGAACTGGGCTCTCTTCTCTCCTTTTGCTTCTTCCCTCTCTCCTCTCTCCTTCCTGTCCCGTCCCACCCATCTAGGAGAAGCTTCCCAATACTATAAGCCAGCCCCAGCTTAAAACACCTTCAGAATTTTAACCAAAAGTATCCTGGGCTATGGAGTGCTAGAAAAAAATGCCAGCTGTCAGCAAAGTCTTATCATTAGAGCTTTTGCATTTGATTGCACTTGCACTTGCATCTAATCCACTCTGTGTCCAGGTTGCAAGTTGTGCTCCTGTGCAGCCAGATATCAGGCTTGGATATTTTATTTTTGTTTGATATACTGGCTTGCATCATTTGCTGAAGAATAAACAGTCGCTGTCTTCCTACATACAGCTGCTTGGGTTCTTTTCATTAACAGAGGACATGGAAGCTGACTGTCTTGAATTACACTTCAGTGGTGCGGACTGTCAGTCCCTTTAGCTTTCAGTTAGGCCCCCTCAACCATACTGAACTTTTTGTCCAAACTGCAATTTAAATTGGCTTGGTCATCATTCCTTCGAGCTGCAAGAGCACTCTTAAACTCTGTGAACAGCTTTGGGACTGCTGCAGCGCAGCAGAGTGAGCTGGCATCATCCTGTGAGGGAAGAGGAGCAGAGAGAAAAATGTGTTAGGCCACAGAGTTCATAGTCCAAAAGATGCTGAATATAACAGATTGACTGAAGGAGACTGAATGCAATGTCCTTAAACTATGGAATTGTATTTAATAACTCAAAGAGGTAATTTTGTATTTATTTTTACAAATGAAACACTGAATGTTAAGGAAGGATGCCAGAGATGGTCCACCTCAAAAATATTTTGGGGTGACATTCTGTCTATTTCATATTAATGAAATTAAGCTAGGTGTCAAAATATTTTCTCAGCAGTCATTAAACCATGTATTAATTTTCTTTACTGCAGTGATTAAAAACTGTTATTACTTGATTTTTTTCTTCCTAGTTAGGAGTTCATCTCAACAGTTTTCTAGCTATTTTGTTCCTGTTCCACTCTATTTTTTTTGGTAATATAACTCTTTTGTGCTACTTTCATTTTTTTGTTTTTATTTCCATCTCTCCCCAAATCATGTTCTCTTTCTCCTCCACTCTGTTATCTTCCTTTTGGTATTTTAATCCTATGCTGCCACACGTCTGGTTTTGCCTCATTATGTACATCCAAGTTTGAAAGTAAGCAGTACATCAGATAATGAAAATATGCAACCTACTGGCAACAGTAGGTGGGGTTATTTAAAAAAAAAGCAAACAAAAAAAGCCCAAACAAAACAAAAAAAGCGTCACCATTCATGAATAGCTGTATTCCTCCTAGGAGGTTCAGTACATGTTTGAAAAGCAAATTTATAGTGAAAACCTCATGTTTGGAGCCAGCTTCTGCTGACTTTTTTTAGGGGACCACCTGTGGCTTGTCACATTGGAAAGTGACAACAATTCTGTCGGGCTGGAAGGATGTTCCTTCTTCTCTTGGGCAGCATTTGTTGTTCCTTCTCTGGTGTAAAGCCTCTGCAGAGAGGAGAATCTCACTGACCACAGCAGTAACTTCATAGCTCCTTATTTCATTCTGCTTATAAAAAGTGCTTGATGGCTTTTTCTGTTAATGCAAGAAAATCCTTTAGGTGTCTTTTTTTTCTTTTTACCTTATCAGAAAGATTTACAGTTACTCTGTAGCTGATTGCAGAAGGGAACAACTTTTTGTTCCTTGCTAAAACTTTGTGTAAAAAACAGCAGCCAAAACACTTCTACTTTTCTGGTTGTCTTTTTAAGTTTCTGCTTATGTTCCATGGGAAGTCATGCGAGGAGCGGCTGAGATCACTTGGCTTGTTTAAGCCTGGAGGAGACTGAGGGCAGACTTCATCTCAGTCCACAACTTCCTCACAAGGGGAAGAGGAGGGTCAGGCACTGATCTCTTCTCTGTGGTGACCAGTGACAGGATCCAAGGGAATGACCTGATGTTGTGTCAGGGATGGTTTAGGTTGGATAGTAGAAAGATGTTCTTGACCCAGAGCGTGGTTGGGCGCTGGAACAGGCCCCCCAGGGAAGTGGCCACAGCACCAGGCCTGACAGAGCTCACAAAGCGTTTGGACAATGCTCTCAGGCGCATAGTGGGATTCTTGGGGTGTCTTGCACAGAGCCAGGAGTTGGACTCGATAATTTTTGTGGGTCCCTTCCAACTCAGGATATTCTATGATTCTATGATATAATAGTTTACCTAAAGAAACTACTAATAATCTTGACTTTCTTCAGATACCTCAAATCAAGCAGTTTTGGAACATGTATGTGGCTGTTTCAGGAATTATTGGTTCCTTTAGCTTGCTTTATCCATAGACAGATGAGGAATCTAAAATTACTGCATGTGAGGAGGAAACATTTTCTCTGTTACCTCCCCCTTTAACTGTCGCTTTCTTCACCTCTTTTGTGGCTTAGGTTGCAAAGGGCTGGGAAGATAAAAATAGCAGCAAATACAGGATTAAAGTCTCAGGAAGAAGTGTCAGAAGTGACATTATGTCACATTTAGGAGTGTTAACACAGGTGATATTTAGCACCAAGAACATCACCTGCAGTCCTCTGAAATCAGTTTGCATGGTTGCCACTGTTTCCTCCATGTGTGCATGGGCTTTACTGACAGATTAACTGAACTTTCATCCATTTTAGATAGTTTTTTGTTAAAGGTTTTATCTGTCAAGAAGCATATTTTTGAGCAGCTTTTTCCTGAAGGTCCAGATCTGTGCACCCATTACAGTAGGATGCATGTGTAATGTCACTTTTTTGGATTGATTTTAGTATTGCAGGATGGAAAATTTCACAAGACAATTGCATTAATGCTGTTAAGCATTTGTCTGGCTTTGTACAAAGCCTGTGACTTTTGTTGCCTAATTAGTCATCTGATATCCTTCCCTACCCTCCTTGTTTTGACGCTTCTTCATTTTGAAAATTAAGTGGCCTTTTGCTTTTGACCTTTTGTTCCAGCTTGGCAAAGGCTAAAGCAGCACTGCAGTGAAATCTAGGAAACACTTTGCTGCTGGTCCTATACCTTCGTCTCGCGTCTTGTAAAGCCAGAATTCAATTCATGCTTTCTCCCAGCAGCTGGAAACAATACAAAGAGAAAGCAAATGATAACACAAAGAAAGCAATCCCAATTTAGAACTGCTGTTTCCAGTTGTAACAAATTAGGCCAGTGTTTAAAATCTGTGGCATTGTGTAAGACATTGTGTTTTCTATATTAATGCATTAAGACCAGATAATGGGATTAGACCAAAGAGAACATGGACATTATTTAGCTTGTTCCAGTTTAGTTTGTTCAGTTAGGTCGGTGCTGGAGATCTTGTCCCAGTTTTCATTGGAGCCAGAATGCATTATAAGGACACACTCATAAAGTAGTCTAATTAATACAACCAAATAAATATTTGAAATCAAGGGCGGGGAGGAAGTAGCTGAAGGATTCCTACATATTTGTGTATCTGTTCTGTCTCTCAAACACTTGTGCTTTGGAAACCTTTGTATGGACTCCCACAACAGCACATGTACCTTTGGTTTTTATTTAGTGGGACATATTGTGCTTTAAGGAGCTTACTGAACTTCTCAGATAGCTTAGGGACCAAATTTGGTCTATTCTCAACTGTCTTGAAGCAGAAGTACAGGCACCTAGCAAGCAATTGATTGTATTTCACTGGGTAAAACATGCAGTTATCACTGTGGCATATATATGCATATGTTTATGTATTTATATGCATGCTTTATGTAATTGATGGGAAAACACCCTTGCGTTCACTTTGAGTACACCTAATATAGTCCTCAAACTTTCATTTGTAACTAGCCATGCTTGCAGTAATGATGGTAACTATTTTTCAGTTATATTCCTGAAATGCACCTCTCATAATGTTTAGCACCACTTCAGCAGCATTTTCCACACTAAATCAAAAATCCCGCCATTTAGCTCATTGTACCAGCTGAGTAATATGCCCATAGCTCAGTGTGCTTTCCCTACCCCAGCTACACAGTGAAACTTAACACTGAACATAATTATGAATGATGCTATAAAATGGGATTATGAGTTGGACAGACAGAACAAACTGGTCCATACTGAGATTTAAGTTTTCTGAACTTGTATAAAGAATATGCTTTTGAAGCGCTGTTCTTTAAATCACGCTGAGTAAAAGTGGGTTTGTATCTTTACATGAACTTGTGCTTGCCCTGGACTACATTAGGCAAGTTGTCTGAAGGTCTGTCAGACAGCATGGGGAAGTTGCTGCTTGTCCCTACCTCTTCTGTTCTCCTCTGCACCCTTTCCAAAGTCACAAGATTTTGAATTAAAGGACTAGTCCTAAAGGTTTAGTTCAAAATTAAGTCTGCTAGAATAATAGTGTTTTAACAAAGAAGCTAAATAGTAATGTTTCACTGTCTTTGCAGTATGGAGAAGAGTGCAGGAGTAAAATGTACCCTCCTTCTGGACCAACGTAAGTAATCTGATTCAACTTGTCTAGCAAATTACAGAGAAGTCATGATTTGCAAGTCTGAACAGGGTTTCTTCTTGAAACTCGTTCCTGTTGCAGATCTAGAAAATGCTCGTTACAGGTGGGAAGCACCTATTTTGTCAAATGTTTTTTTCAGAGCCTTCTTTAAATTTGATCCCTGGTGTTTTTCTTTCAGGTTCAAAGGGAATATACCCACATATGTCATAAATCTCGATTTGCCTCCCAGCAGAAGATGGGATAACTTGATGCAGGACAAAAAGACAGAGGTAGGATATGCAGAGCTTGTTTGAAGCTTAGCAGGTATAAAGCTAGCACATGGCCTTTTATTTTGAGAAAAGTTTTGGAAAGGAATACAGGGGCTAAAATTATATGAAAGGGATAATATTTTGAGTTGACTTTTTTAATATGATTCTAGCCTAAAATAATTTTTTTTTTCTGTTCAACACTTGACCTAGCAGCATCAAATGTAGAGGCACCGATGTTTGGGATGTAGAGGAACAAAAAACATTGTGCCATAGAGCAAGTGTGTGCCATTTGATATATCGAATCTCCTTAGTGATGAAGCAGTGCAGGATGAAGGGAGAGGAATACACCAAAGGAACAGTCTCAGTAAACTGAAAGGAAATGGAGGCAGCATCCCTTCTCCTCTGCACCTCCCTGCTTCTTTTAAAGCACTGCATGAGATGGTGAAATGGCAAGGGGGAAATTAAGAACTGCCTGCCCTTTTCTGGGATGCTGGTTGTAGCACTGGTGTTTACACAGCACAAATATTTTTTTATATACTTGATCCTATTTCAAACTACTTTAAACAGCTGTTCTTCTGAAGATTGCTAAAAATTCAATTCAGTAATAATTCATTTCTCAGACAAGGCCAGGGCTTTTTGCTGTACCTCTGCTGACCTTGAGCTTTCAACTCTGAAAGACAGACAAATTCTCCTTACAATGCTAATATTTATTTTTAAAGTCTCATTTAAACCAGTGGGTGTTGGAAGCTGCAGATTGCACCTTAAATTCTGAAAGGTTTTATCTCTTATGTACTTTGGAGTTAGATCACATGGAAAGGCCATTCACATGTTGCAAATGGAAAGCATGTACTTTTTATAAGAACTTTGTCGAGTATTTTTGCCTTCGAAAATATCAGTACTTAAGCAAAGAGCTTGTAATTAACATTTTGAAAGATAGAACAGTGCAGAATATTAAAATGTGATCAAAGGAGCACAAGATAAGGGTGGGTTTCCTGTAATTTATTTTCTCTGGCAGAAGGACATGTTGGAACTAATCTAGAAAGTTACTTGAGCAAAACTTGAAGAGTGATTCTAGTCGGGGGTTGGAGGTGTTTTTCTCACCAAGAACACCACATTTAGCACTTTACTTAAATAAGTATTTTCTCAACAAAATGTTTTTCTGAAAAGTTTGTGAAGGGGTTCTAGCAATTCTTACAGTTAAGAGTTTCTATTCAGTAAAAGCCCTTGTTCTTTTTAGCTGAAGACTGTGGTCCAGAATATTAAAGATATAGCAAATACCTTCTTCCCCAGCGGCAAAGTTGTTGACATAGTGGATAACAAAATAGTAAGTATTTTCAGCTTAATTATTTTATTACTGTATGCTCTGACTATCAGAATTAAAATGCTACTAAATTTGGCAATTAAGAACTTCAAAAGTTCCTAATTTACAAATTCTTAATTCCACTTCCAGAAAAGAACAGTAATGCTGTTTTAAAGAGTCACTCTGAAATTTCGCTGTCTTGTCAACTCTGAATTACTCTGAAACCATTAAACAAAAAATGCATGTGTCTCCTCCCCCTCTAATTTTTCCCAAGATCCTTTGAAGTTTGGACTAGTCATGCTAGGCAAACGTGCTACTGACTTAGTTAATGTAGCAGAACACTTCACTGGAATTCTTTGTGCAATGTTCTACTCCTTTTAAACAGTAGCATAAAATCAGGTTTTGATAGCAGTAATAACGGTCTAATTACAGGGACAACTTTGACCATGTGTCATCTAATTCAGATTAAAATAAGCTTTGGCATGGAATCAGGACAGGGGAAAGCAGTGCAGCGGTAGAAACAGCATAAGGTCAGATCTTTTCCCCATCTTTATTTGCAGCATATCCCTGTGTGCCTGAGTGGGGTTGAACATACAGGCAGCACATACAGGTAGTCATACCAGTGTGGGAAAGTTAGGGGTGCCAGTAAACACTGACATTAAGCTAAGTTCCAGTTGAGCTTTTAATATATACAAGTCCTACTTCACTCTGTTCCATCTGTGGCTGCTAAGATACTGTGCTAGTTTCCATTGCTCACGTCAGTATTTTGATAAGTAATAGCTTTTACTTTTCCTAAGTATGTACTTGTCTTCAAAGGACTCTACAAACATCTTCAAGTTCTACTGGCTGCAGAGAAATTAAATACTTGGTAGTTGCGAGAAGGGTGTACCTGTTGGGGAGTAACAAAATAGTGTTAATTTAAACGTACATCATACAAAACTTTCCTTTTCAGGCTCATCTGACCGCCACACTTCCTTATCCTTTCAATGAAGAACTCCAGGGGATTGCAAATTCATCTGGGATTCCTTTGGGTAATAGTCTTCAACGCTCATTAACATAGTGGAAAACCAGGAATCCAGAGTTGTTTGAAATTAGTATGTTTACCAGTTTGCAGTTAGTTGTAGTCATCTGAGACCTTAACAAATTATTAATTAAGTAGGTGAAGCAATAAATTGCATCTCACACTAAAGAAAAGCAGTATTTTAGAGAGCAGAGTAAAATCACATAAGCCTTTCATCTGGCTGGGACCTCTCTGTAGAGCTGTAGTTTCTCTTTCATAAGTTTTGGGAACTGGAGCAGGTCTCAACTGCTGTGCACCAGAATTTGGGGGAATCCTTTATTCTCGTCATGCATCTGTGTGTCTGCTGTTGACATACAAAGGGCAAGCTCAGTCTCATGCTGTGATTTCTTTCCTTTGTGATCCTTGCCACTTCCTTCTGCCTTCCCTTTGCACCTCCTGCAAAAGAATGCCATTCCAGGTGAGAAGTAGGCACTGAATTCTTCCAGAATTGATACAGAGAAGGGCTGTTGGCCTGTTCCCACTGCTTCCCTCATACAAGAGCACTATACCTTGTGCTAGGCAGCTGCTCTTATATAGGAGTAGGGGTACATATAGCAGCTTTCTTCTTTCAAGTGAATTTTCTAGCTTCTTGTGAAGTTTCCAGAGGAGGAAGTAGCAATGACTGTCAGCTTTCTTTATGGTAAGGCAGAAAGCCAAGGGATTCTGATCGATCTGTTTGCCTTTCAGAAAGCTCTTGATTTTGTTGAACTAGTTATTTCAAAGATCAAATAAGATTTAAACAGGAATTCTGAACAGAAATACAACAGGATACTGAACTTTGCAGGATGCTTATTTCTAACCATTTTTTTTTCCTGTTCATGGCAAAGGTTTCAAACTATTGAACTTTGTTTCTTTTTGTTCTAGGGGAAATCGTTATTTTTAACATCTTTTATGAAATTTTTACTGTATGTACATCAATAGTGGCAGAAGATAACACAGGTAATGTAACCCAGAATAATTTTAATAGTTTTCTTTTCTGTAGAAGAGGTTCCACCTCAGTTATACAAATACAATCCTCCTCAGCTGCAGGCAAAAAAGGTCTAGTAAAGAGACTAAAAGCAAGGATAATAAAGAGCTATACCTTGAGAAGGGAATAAGAGATCACAGGCGTCTTAGGTTAAAAAAAAGGACAAAGAAATAGTTTCAAAGGTGGTTTGGGTTTGGTTTTGTTGGATTTTTTGTTTGTCAGTTTAGGGGGTCTTTTGTTTTTGTTTTGTGGTTGGTTGGTTGGGGTTTTTTTAGTAGGTGGTGGTTGTTTTTCTAGGGAAAAGAAACACCAGCTAGACACCTGAAACTTTCTCAGTGCCACGCAGGATTTTGCATCTAGTTTCTATCTATTGCATACGTATGGTGCTAGAGATTGACAAAATGGGTTGCCTCTTTTAAGAAGGGAGACTTTCATTCTCCTTCTTAGTTCTGCAGTCCTTGTCTGCACCTGTTCCAGCTTAGGAAGTTTTTAAGGGATTCTCAGACAGCTTACAAATGTCTCACTGTAAGAGGAAGCTCAAGGTGTTCTCATTGCATTAAGGAAATGTGGAAGGCATCTGAGGCTCAGATACACAGCAGTCTGCAAGATTAATTGATCTCAGTTATGGCAAAACATTTCTCCGATCAAAAAAACCCCCACCATTATTCTGTGTTTATGAAAAAGGCAACTAGAAATGGTATTTTTCTTGGTTACTTTTTCAAGTATTTGCTTGCTTAGTCATTTCTTGCGTTTCTGAGCTGAAATTTGTCTCTTTCATTAAAAAATCTTATTTATTTATTTGTTTGTTTGTTTGTTTGTTTGCTTGTTGTTGTATAGGAAAACTGTACCATGCCAGAAACTTGGATTTTGGACTCTTTCTAGGGTAAGTACCTAAACTTTGACCTTTTTTTTTTTTTTTTAACCCAAAGAAAAAGCTAGCTGAACTTGAAATTTCTGCATGCATTTTTTGAGTCTAACTGATGAACTGGATGTTGTTAAGACAGTGACAAGTAATTCTGCATTATGTGTTTTGCAAAAAGGCTGAAATGAAAAGGATTATTCTACTGATCTTACGACAAACTACCTCAAGTACATCAAGAACAGTTGTGTTACTAAGTTTTTTTCCTCAGCTCCAGTTTAAACTGTCTCAAACCAAAGAATGGTCTTTGTTACCTTATCTCTGAGGCACAGTATGTCTTGTTCTTTACATCAAGCATCAATTTTAATGTATGCAGTGAAATGGGGATTAGATTGAGGCTTGGCTTTTTTATGATTTTTTTCTTTTCTTAGATTTTTCCCCTAGTTACTGTACTGTACTTCACTGGGACTTCCCATGACTCATCATTTCCACTGGGAAGTCAGTGATTTGTATTCCACTGATCTAACACTGTCATTCATTTGGATACAAACAGTGTAGTTTGTTGCCCAGCACTGCATTCTCTTTTAGTTCCCATTTCATACCCCATGATCAGATAGTTCAACATTTGCTTTTATTACCCCGGTATGTTTTGTAACATCACTCATCCAGATGACATTAAAGAAACTTTCAAAGCTGTTCCTAGAGCCTGGATTGTTTTCAGAAAATGTAAGGATCTGCTAAGTGATCTTTATCACCCTCTTGCCTACAAACTGATCTGGCTTATCTTAAAAAGTCGACTTGGGACTTCCCTTCATGTAGAGAAAATCCAGTAGTATGTGGTTTCTTTTCTGCCTTTGAAAAGTAAGAATTCAAGGTTTAGTGTCATAGGCAGTACCTGCAGCTCTCTTTGCCATCAGGAGCAGAAAGAAGTTATGTGTGTTCAAAACAAACCAGCTGTGGTGGTGCTGTTTAATCCTAAGCACTGTATGCTCTTACTTCAAACAAAACTTGGCTATTTTCACTGCCTTGCCTGTCTGTTTAGACTTCTTAGCTGTTCCTTGCTGGTGCTGCTCAGGTGGCTATGGAGCAGTGATTGCCTGACATGAGTAAGATCAGAGGGTAGGCATCACACACAGCAGGCCTGCATGCTGTGAAGGGAGACTTTAAAAGCTACTGAGAGAGGGAAGTTTCGAATTATGTACTGTGTTCTGCAGGTGGGATGTTAAAAATAACTCCTGGACTTTAACTCGGGAACTGAAGCCTTTAGTGGTACTCCTGGACTTCCAGAGAAACAACAAAACAGTATTCAAGTCTACAAATTTTGCAGGATACATAGGCATGGTGTCTGGAGTCAAACCAGTAAGTATGGGGAAGGGGCCTTGTCAGTTTGTTAAGAATGCTTCAGGCATTCTTGGGATGTTGTATTAATAAATGATCTCTTAATTGTTCCGGTACACAGCATAGATACTTGAAAAAAGATAAAAGAAAGCAATGCTGCAATCTTCCTTGTGAAAGAAAATTCCCTAAATGAAATATTTCTCTTTGGACAATTCTTAAAAACAGCATTGAATTCTGAATATGAACAAGAGTGATTATAAAGGGCTCAAGTGGTTAGAGTTTCTTGCTAGCTAATAGGTACTGCTGTAATCCCAGAGGTGAAACAGCATACTTGTGCTATTTTAATTCCTAACCAAACCTTTGTAGAAAAAGAACTCCTAAATTTTAATATTTTCTGGTTGGGTTTTTGTTTAATAGGTACCTGAAATCTGAGGGTTATCTGCATCTTAAAAACCAGCTGTACAGAACTATACCAGGGTCTGCAGCTTTCCACAACTTTTCCTTTTCTACATGCTCTCCCTTTATCCTCTATTATAGGTGGCCTTTCCTGTAGTAGAGCATTCCTTATATAAACCCCTCCATTGTATCTGCTTATTTTTGTCTTCTGCTCAAATAAACTGGGAAGAGTCCGTTCTGAATATGATCCAGTGTAGCTGAATTCCATTTTTCTCTGAAAGAAACAATTAGAAGGGACGGGGATTTCAGTTTGAATTGCATGTTGCAAGGAGCATGGATTGAATCAAGTGCAGCTGCACGCCCTTGTGAATACCAGTCACATATCAGGGTGTACTTAGGACTGGGACTTAAAACTCTGCCTTCAAACTGGAATGGTATGCAGAGGTCTGAGAAGAAGGTGACATACAGCAGGGAAAGGAAAGCTAGTAATTCAGTGATGCAACACAGACCAAAAGAAAAAATGGCCACAGGCTTGGCCTGACTTGCTTAGCGTAAAAACACACTTTGCTGATTGCTCTGTCAGGTCAGAAAACTATGAATTATCATTTCTGCTTATTCAGGCAGTGATAAATTAGATTCTTCTCCACATGGGATTGATCTTGCAATGTGTTACTCAAAGAGGAAAAGTCTAACAAACAAGAAGCTCGGTTGGTATCTAAATTGCAGTGCTGCCTCTTGTTTATTACTGGTACTAGTGAGCTGGCAATGGATGAAGGTTGCCTTGTTTAATGCTTTTCAGAACTTGTTCACACTGACAATGAATGAGCGTTTCAGTCTTGATGGTGGTTATGTGGGTGAGTAACGCTCATTTCTTTCATTATTTCTGTACAAGTCTTCCAGAACTTGGGGATACCAATCACCTTAATAAATAATTATTATTCACCTTAATAAAAATGGTGAATAAATTCCAGAAGAGTAAGATAAAACACAGCTTGTTTTAAAGGCTGTGAAAGTTGTAATTGCACGAGTGAACCGTCTGAAAACAAATTATTGTAACCAGTGATATTTTGCAGGAATCTTCGAATGGTTTCTTGGTAGAAGAGACGGTATGTGGATGGGCTTTCTTACCAGAACAGTATTAGAGAATGCTACAAGGTATTTCCCCTCCCTCTAAATATTCTACTGCTTTAACCTGCTTTGCTTTCTGCAAGCATGAGTACTGTAGATGTATGCTTCATATCCAGTGATACAGACACCTTCCTAGTGTGCCTAACATTAAATTGTTCTGGTTTTGCTGGTACTCTGGAGCGGAGGCCAAGCATCACACATGATCCCTCAAATTTTTTTCTCAGATTTTTTTTTTTCTAATGAACCTGTTGGTATCTAAAAGCGTAACAGCATTCTGCATCAAAACACATCTGACAGGTAGTTGGATATTATATTACAGGAAGTATATAGTATGTTATAGGAAGTAAGCAGAAACAAAGCTGTCATGCAGTTAATTCAGTGGAATATGACACAGTATGTCATCATTGTTTTATTCATGTTTTAATGTAGAAAAAGTACAAAGAGCACCTCTAAACAATCGTACTATAGATCTAAAATGAGTAGAGATGCTTTGCTTAAATGTGTTCTTTCATTGTGTCCCTGTATCCTCATATGTGCATGAAAGGGGAAGAAAGACCAAGCAAGTAACAACCCAAACTTTTCCTGGGTCTGTGTAATTTGTTCTTCAGTACTTGAACAGTTTATAGCATTTAATAGTCCAACACTACTTTATCCACAGTTACCAGGATGCAAAAGACAAACTGGCCAAAACAAGACTGCTGGCTCCAGCTTACTTTATACTTGGTGGAAAAAATTCTGGAGAAGGATGTGTGATAACTCGTTCCAGGACAGCTGCTCTAGATATCTGGGAGTGAGTATCCTTGACCTGACACCCAGCTCAGCCTTCCAGAAGGTTCCACCAATATATGTGTCCTCTATTTCTTGTGACTTCTGTTGTACAAAAACTTACTTCTTTACCATCACTGAAAAATACCCCAGCAAGCCTAAAAAAACCACCTGTCTGTATTTGGTATATAGTGTATATATATACTTACTGTATACTTAGAGAAGCAAAACACAAACAGAGATGTCTTTTCCAGCCTTGATATCAAGAAAGGCACGTGGTATGTGTTGGAAACAAACTACGATCGCTGGAAGCCTCCACTAGTGTTGGATAATCGTAGAGGACCTGCAATGAAATGCCTGAACCAGACAACACAAGAGGTAAAAATCCTCCAAACATGTCACATCCTGCTGTTTTGAAACTCCCACGTTACAGTACTGACCTGACACAGAGCATTCAGGTTATTTTCAAGCACAGCTGCAATGACAGAAGTGGCTGGCGGTTTTGTGGTAACCTGTCTCTGCTCCTTGGTAATAAAGTGCCAGCTGGCCCTTTACATGCTTCTTTTTCTGCTGGCCCTTTACATGTTGCTTTTTCTTTTTTTTCTTCCCCCCCCCCCCCCTCCAGTTTTGGGCTTTCTTTTCATCTAGGCAGGTTTTCTGCAAGTATTTTCAGCAGCTGCATATGCAGGGGATAAACCTGGAGATAACTTTGAGAAAGACTTTCAGTGTTTCCTGAGTGGTTTTACACCAGTGAAATTCAAACACACACTGTCAGACAGCAAGTACAATCCAGTGTGCCGTGCTCTACTGAGATCTGGTCTGCTCAAGTTTTTGCAGCCTACATTCTTCTGATCTCAAGGTGTATGGGTATCATGTGCTCTTGTTATGTAATTGAGCCGTAAAAAAGTTACTTTTTTCAGCATTTATGCCAATAGTTCCTTAACATCAGTGTATAATTTTCTTTCAGAACCTCTCCTTACCAGCAATTTATGATGTTCTCTCCACAAAGCCTGTCCTCAATAAGGTAATGCTTCTATTTTTGCAGAAAGTTTAGAGTGCGGGGCGGACCACTAATTATTGTACATCTGAGGAGCACTACGTTCGGGGTTTTCTTAGGTGAAAACACAGATGTAAAAACAAAACAAATTTCACATTACTTTGTAAATGCAAAATGTAATTGCTGGAATAGCAACAGTTATAAAATTCTGGGTAGCCTGAGCCCTTTCCTCATAGCTGGCTCTGGTTTGAGGCAGCAGTTCCTCTGCAGACATTGTAAGCACCCTTCTAATCTGAATTAATCTGTGATATATGCCTTTGTAATTAGCATGAAACAAGTTAATATACCTCATGGTTTGGGCGTACTACAGGCATGTTCATCTTGCAACAGAAGATGTTTTAGTCTGAACTTGCAGATTTGAAGTTTAGAATAAAAAAAGACTGAAGAGCAGAGTGAAAAGAGTTTTTGGATTCTGAAGTTTAGTTACACTGTTCAATGGGGGCAGCATTCTTGACTAAGAACACGGGCAATTCTTACTTGAATGGTATTGACTAAAGAAAGTAAATGCTCATTTTAGTTGAACTGTTCAGTTGATATCAGATACGGGTTTTCACTAATTGCTGTAATGAGGATTTTTTTCTTTTTTCTTCCTCCCACTGCCTCTTAGCTGACTGTGTGCACAACGCTGATGGAGGTGTATAATGGTCATACAGAGACTTACCTGCGGGAATGCCCAGATCCCTGTAGTCCCTGGTAGTCCTGTACCTTTCCTATGTTGGAAGCTGCTTGCCTGAATATTTCTGGAAAGAGATTCATCCGTCTAACTCCATTCTTCAGAAATCTAATGGCTATATAGAAATGTCAATGAGCTTCTAACGATGAAGGACCCCTTTTCACAGCAGACTTTCTTGCTTTCTAACAGCAGTACTGCTGACAAGAAATGTATCCTACTGAGTGTGTGGTGTGATTTCAGCCGTTTCTGCCAAAAGAGTTCAGCAGTTAACTCTAGATCTCTTCAGTCTTGACAGTATTCTTGTTTTGTTGTTGGTTGCGGGTTTGTTAGTTTTTGTTGTTTGGTTTGGTTTATTTAGATTAAAATACTTCTAAAGCACACAAGTTAAAATGGCACCTACCAAGCATGAAAAAGAATTGGGTGCAAGAAGACCATCTGGGACAATACCGTTCTGTTATTCTTTTGTAAGCACTTAAGATGAATTGTATCTGGTCTAATAGGAGGATATGTCTGATATGCCCTGTTATAAAATAACCTAGGAAGTGTGATATTTAGTCACAGAAACAAGGTCTTGGGGAAATATCTAAAATAAGATCTGAGCCAAAAATGTCTTGCCACTGATTTAAAGCTCTTTTGCTGAAGCTCTTTTTTGGCCTGTTAACAAATTTATTACTTTTAATACAAATTTTTCTGTTCTCAAAAAAAATAAATACTAATACAATAAAGAAGAAATACTTTCTTTGATCAAAGTACACATGCACTGATTTCATACTTCATTGTAAGTCACCACACATGTTACATATCATGTGGCATAAAGGGCTTTCAATATATAAATATACTGATTTTAAGAGTGTCTAAAAAACTGATTTGTTCCTTAAATTGATAGTTAAAGTTATTACTATAATAGGGTTATTGGGTTGCTTTGGAAGGATTTCGCTTGGTTGGTTTTTTTTGGAAAGTGGGGAAGGGAAGCCAGGTCAGATTGTACCACTGGCCAGAATTCAAATTAAGAAAGTAAAGGTCATTCGGAAATAGAAGTAGTAGCACCTTAATGCCCTAGGAAGCAGATAAGGAAGCAGTATTTTCATCTGTGTCACTGGCTGCATTGCTGGCACTAGTTTCCAGTGCCAGCTCTTGTGTTTTATAACACACAAAGAAAAGACACTGGAGAGTAAGTTTTGGGGCTGGTATATATATCTGGTGGTTCCCTTGTAACTGCCCTAGGAAAGAGCTGCTATTCATAGTCACACTGATCCAGGAATTTTAAGTTGCCATTGGTGTAAGGAAAGTGTTAGCTCTGTCTTTGGTGTCTGCAGACAGTATTGCATAAGGCACTCCAATTAAAACCTGCAAGTTCATGGCATCCAGTCACAATGGGATATGCAGAACAGAATTAGTGTGGTGCAGAAGCTGAGAACACAGGATACTACAGCTTCATGTTCCAAACTCTAAAGGGTATTAAAACATTTTTCTCCCCATACTTACAAATTTAAGAAACCTACAGAAGGGAAAACGAGTGATTGTCCATAATAATCTCCCCAGGGAAATATGGATTCCCTAACATTGGATACTTTCAAGAGTCTGCTGGACAGGATGCTGGGCATCTTGTCTAGACTGTTGCTTTTGACAAAAAGGTTGGACTGGATTATCATTGAGGTCCCTTCTTTGTTTCAGTAGCCAGGTTACATCTTACTGCAGACTCTGTTCTTATTAGATTAGAGGTTCTCCTTCCATCAGCAGTGGAAGAAGCAGGGACAAGAAGAATTCTAATTGCCAAATAGCTGCTGATAAAGAAACATGGCTTCTGGTTGAGGAAAATGAAGCACTGATATTCTAGGCCTGAGAACAATGCCTGTAGTAGCACAGCAAGAAGCAATTCAGAGGGGTGTAAAACAATGGCACACTGAAAGCACACAGAAATCAACATCCCCTGATGTAAACTGATGTTGAAAAGGCCCAGTCTAGTTGTACATCTAATTTTTTTTAACTGAAGTATGCAAGCAAAAGTGTGTTAGCATGATTGTACTACCAGAGTCCATTTTTAATCTCAGTTTTGAATATTGAACCTATGTAAACCCAATATTAACAGCGGGATTTAATTAGGGAAAAATGCATGTGTGAAACGCAGCTCCTGGGACGCTTGATTCATATAAAACAGTTAAGCCAAGTCAGATATTACAGCCTGTACTGTGGAGAACACATCATAGGCTTCTGAGTGCAGACCTCAGCCTGCTAGGGGGTTGTTCAGATTTATTTGGAATGAAGTTGTGTAACAGCCATAATCAAATTACTTTGTAATTTAAAAATAAGTTTACGTGCTTAATTAGTCCCGTCCCACTTTAGCGTACGTAGAGCAAGACAGTGTAGACTATTTACAGTCATTAACTAATGATCTTTTGGTATGTCCCTTGTGCAAGACAAATCCACATTTCCACACTGGAAATTGCTTTATAATTGCAAAAGCACAGCTAAATCCCATGAATGTCTGTCCAGAGCCTGAATGCCTATGCCTGTTATTGACTAAAATAAACAAAGCTATTTAAAAACAAAACCCCCAACAACTATGTATTACTGTGTCTGCCTTAATATGCAAAAAGTGCTGGATGTGATTAATTGCTTATTGATTCAACCTTCATCTGTCAACTCTGAAAGCACATGTTCTGAAGGTTTTCTAAAGCCAGACAAAAAGTTCAATTTGCTCTTGTTACAGATTTATTTGCTCTTGTTACAACTACTTTTAATGTCAGTTTACTGCCTTTCCCCTGCTTCTGCTGCCGTGGGCACTGTGATGGAAGCTAAGACTATTTCACTGAAGAAGTGTTTGTAGCTACTTGCAACGTTGGGATTTCATTTAGCTGCCTTTTTTTTTTTTTTTAAGAGAAAGACATAAATAATGAAAATGGGTGTGTTTCTTCATATTAATTTGCTGTACACATGGTTGAGGTAGTTCACAAACACCAGGAGGATGGTCTGATTGCTTTTTTTTTATTTTTTTTTTTCCCCAGGTCAAGTAAGTAGCTATATATATTTTTCTCTTTAAGTTTACATAAGAGATTTACACAGTTTTCCTAGTTCTGTTGTGAAAAACTCCAGATATTTATCAAATGGTTTCAAAAAAAACCCACTTGCCTATGTAAGCAAGAAGGCAAACATACTTTTTTGTTATTGCTGCATAGTCAAGTTCTAGGAAAAGTAGTCACAGTGTTAAAGCTTCTAGCAGATGTAAATGGAGTTAATCCAGTTGACTGTAAACTTGATTAAGGTGTAACAGGAAAGATAAAGCATTGTTTGGGCATTGGCATTTAAATGCAAAAAGTCTGTTCGCCAAGAAAATTTTACACCTCTGCAGTTTCAGGAACCCATGCAGTGAAGCCCCATATCATTTAAGAGAAAGAAAGAATGGCATCTCCCATGCTAAAAAACCAAAATTTTTGCAGCTAATGAGGACAGGAGAATCCAGAAATTTGAATCTTATCAAAATCAAGCAGCAGTTCTGGGACACACATGTAAGTGAGATTGCATTAGAGTCAGTTGCACGTTAAGGCTTTGCTTAGAAGCAAAACTCCAGAGCAGTGCCCATGGATGTCCTGGTAAGTACCTGCAAGGAAAGCAGCAAGAGTAAGGAAAAGACTTTCACTGGAGTGAGCAGGCATGATGGAGAGTGGACAAGCAGGGAGGAGCTGAGAGCTTTAGGCAGGCTCCAGAGCTAACAGTGGAATACTCCTCCCTCCCAGCACAAACACGTGTCCCACTTTCACACAGCCAGCTCTTTGGGTTACAGGTGTAAGGAGAAAGACGTGCAAAGAAGAGGCTCAAAAGCTTGGATTTCATCTTTGTGGCAACAGCAGGCAAATTACCTGCTTATGGCATGGATCATCAGATGGACTCTTCTTTTGGAGGACCAGAATTCGTGAGAAAGGCACACCCAAGCTCTCTGAACAGTAAAACCTCTCATCCTTTGCACCAGAAGAACAAGATGAGCCAGAAGGAGTAATGCTCAATCAAAGCAGTGGCTGAAGCCACAGTTTGCCTTGGGAAGAAAATTCCAGATACTTATGCATTTTGTAAGAAGCTGACTTGACTGTTAAGAGAGTCTGGGAGCACAGGATACCCACTGGCCAAAGGCCGTGATCAAGCAGCAAGCAGACCATGCAGTTGTTCCCTCTAGATCTGCTTATGAGTTTTTCAGACTATAGTAACTTGTGGAATTAAAGGTCTTTTGTAACTATGTCTGCTCCCACACGCTCTCTTAGAAGAGAGGACAATAATTATAAAGGACTTAGCCTGTTTACATACCAAGAAGCACTGCACTCAGGACATTTTCTGATCTATAGTGAATCAGCTCTGAATTACATTAATTGCATATGGGACAATCTCAGGCTAATTTGTTTTGCAAAGTTTGTTCTCCTAGCTCAAGGGTTATGCATGAGCAATAGAAGGATCCCAGTGGTAAGACTGCCTCTGTTGGGGATCCTGCACTGAAGGTGACTCCAGTCATAACTCTTGCTTAAAGGTTTTCCACTATTAATCTTGTATTTCTTTTAATCTTGCTAAGGTGTCTCTATTCGGCAGATTAACAGTGCAGAAAAAAAAAAATCATCCCTAGGCTTTTCCCTCTTTGTATTTCAGTAAGAACGATATTTTTTTTTTCTGTAGTAAAGAAAATTAGATCACAAAGTGGTGCATTGACATCATGTTTTTTCAAAGCAGAACTTTAGTTCAGGTGCCTGGAGGAGTTTGGATTAGACAGAGTCTTTTCTCAGGCTACACCCACTATCTGAATTACACCAGTATTTAAACCTTTGAGTAGTTACATATAATTTGCATCAACTTAGTTCCCAAAATGTTACATCTGCATTCCTGCAAGAGGTGTACATGCACCATCCCTTGAGAAGTGGAAACAGTCCTGTTAAGACAGCTGTGTCCGGCTCCATGAACCTTCTATGTGAACCAGGTGGGAAAAAGGTAGAATGGAGAGGAGAAAACAGGGAAGGGGAAAAAAAAGAGAGAGAAGCAAGAGCCAAAGTGTCAGAAAATGTCAGAGGGAAGAGAAGTAGAACAGGAAGACACAGTAATGGCAGGCTATGAAGATCTATCAACTGCCGTGTGCTCCTCTATTGACCCTTTGCTGTCAGCTGAAACCCCAGCCAAAATGTGCCTCCCCATCTGCAGCAACATTTTTTTTTCCAGTTATGCTGAGAGACAATAGCTCTAAACTGATTGTCTAAAAAAAGAATATTGAAATTAAAAATACATATTATCTTAAGCAACCGTTCTTCAGATTTACAAGTAAGATAAGTTGCATTAGAGGTATACTAAGGTTGTGAAGTAGCCAGAAGCCAAGAAGCATAGCAGCCACTCATTTCCCTTCCTTTTTGAATCAGATACAGTCTCTGTATGATCCCAAAATTCCTTTTACAGAGATCCCTTGTTTCACTCACTGCATAGGACAGGCTGTGTTCCTGTGATGAATGAGGACGGCATAGCAAAGGCGAAAGGCTTCTGCTTTGTTCCCATTTTCAAGACAGTAAATAAGATAATGCCTTGCAAAAGAAAGGGTGGTGTTACAGATCAGACAGGTCTCAGTACCTACTGGGACAACTAAATTCTCACCCCAGTTCTGCCACATGCTGCAGAGGCAACCCAGTAGGTTGTGGTGTCTGGCTGGTGCCCAGTCAATGATACCAGGCGTTGTATTTTGGAAGTACTGATCACAAAGGAAATCAAGACAGAGGGAGCCATGCTGCAATCATATAAAGTACTGTAAAGTGAATCTTAATTTTTTACCTCTCAGTTCAGGCTCTCAAAATTATTCAGCAATCTGCATTTCAAACTCTGTACCTCAGAGCTCCGTATGTAACACAGGCACAAATATTCTCTGATCTTTCTCAGTATCAGGAAGACAAAAACATAAACTAATACAAAAAGTCTAAAGCCCTTTCAAAAAAAGTTGATTTAGTTTGAACCCAGCAGGCCTTCAAGGATGATGGAAGTAAGTAATTCAGGGAAAGCACCATAGGAAAAATGACAAGAAAATGAATAATTGCAATGCAAGGTTTGGATGGTTTGTAAAATAAGCAGGGCTCAGGGCCACATGCTGAGTGCTGAACATGGACACCCCCCATGTTAGCTGAGGCAGAGACTTTTTGATGGGGAAAAAGAGGAGAGAGGTGACTATGCAATTAAGAGCCCTGTGTGCACAGGACAGCAGGTTACATATACAGGTTCTTAATATAATCCTGGTGGGTTTTTATTTTGTAGTGCTTGACTTTACGTGCTAGACAGCTAGAGATTTTATTTTTTAAATTGAGGGCTGGGTATCAGTTGATGAGGTGAATATAATATACAGCAGAACATAGCTTCCACCTGTCTCTCTGAGGAAGGGCAGAACAGCAGCTGTTCAGCTCGGAGAGGACAATAAAGAAACTTAACACAGATCCCATTTACTCAAGGTGAGCATCACAACGTCCCACCAGGCCTTCTACACCAGCCCCTGCTCTGCCAGTGGGCCAAGCACAGCGCATTTGCTCTGTAAGTATCTTCATAATACCTTTGCCCCCTAAAACAGCAACCCACTAATTTTCGCCTTCAACCTCCGATCAGACTCTATATTTATTTCTCCCAAGACTGCTCATTTGATTGTCTGCCTTCTTGTTATCAAGTAGCCTACAAGTGCAGTGCATGCCCACACCATTCCAGATAAACATCCCAGCCACCCCAATGGATTTGGAACCAAGCCAGGTGACTTTGCCTATCCCCGTCTCAAGCTCCCACTTTCAATAATGTCTCTATTACATAACATCACAACAACATACCGGCACAAATCCTGCTTCCCACGGCCCTTGGTGCCAGGGCTACCTGCAGTCCGAAATGCCTTCTCAGACCACACTTTATTTTTTTTTTTTTTTGCTGGCTTGGCAGTTTTCACTCCTGCTCTGAGCGTGCAGAGCTGAGCCAGCACCTCTGCTACGTGGGGGTAAGCCGTCCCTGCCGAACAACCCTGGAATTGTCAGCCACAGCCTGCACAGGCGAACTGCCGTTTCCTGTTTCTGGAAGCACTGTTACCAGCCACACCACCACTCTCCTTAATGTAGAAAGCTGTTTCATGTTTTGTTGTGATTTGGTTCCACACTTCCACACGCAGGCTGAGGGTTGTAACAGGAATAACAGCACTGAGGTTACGCGACACTTTCCCTGTTCAAAACAGCCAGTGAGGAAACCCACGGGTATTATTTATTGTAAACACTTCCCACAGACTAAACCCAACAGGTACCAGCAAGTAGTCTTGCTCCTCTGCGTTTTCCAGTGTAGCATGACAACAAAGGAGCACGCTCGAGAACCGCGGTATGGAATGTTTAATTTTCTGTTTAATTTTACTTGTGTGGACATTTTAAATTTATAGTTGAAGGTTCACGTCAGTTATACTTCTCAGCTGTAAGTATCTGCCAAATGGTTTCTTATCAATGGAACAAAAAAAGAGCAGCAGCAGGGTTTTCCCAGAATAAGGCATGAAACCAATCCCTGCTACTATAAATCACAAGCATGAGCAGAGCTAATCTCACGGATTTTTGTTACAGTCTCTTCTTCTTGCACTTTCTAAACAGCAGTCTTAAACCTTAAAAGTGTTTTCAAATCTGAATTCCTGCTACAGCTGCTAAAATATGAGGGATTTTTTTCTGGTATTCGCTATTTCTGAGGCACTGATTTCTGTAGTGACATTATAAATGCCAGTGCCACAACCTGCAGACAAACACCCATACCCTGGGTCTCTCCATGGACCCACACGCCAGGTAAGCCAGAGAGTCAGAGTTCCAGCAATACTCAGCAGTGACAAAAGCACAATACATGCTGCAACATGTACTAAGGAGACATAAGTCACGTCACTACAAAACACCAGCCTCCACTGTCCATATATATAAAAAAATCTAAAAGAGGTAGAGATTTGAGATGGAATGTGATGACTGCAATCCTAATAGAATTCGGTAATTAACCCTGGACTGTACAGTGTCTGGCAACCTTTCAACATTGTTTTTAAACACAGATGTCTAACCCATAAAATCCTAGTATCCATAACTTTATCTTCCAGAGAAGTACAATGAAAAAATCGTCTTTGTTTCCTTTTGAAGACATAAACCACCTAAAATAATTAATAAGTAAAAATACAGAAACCAGTAAACATATAAATTCCATCTTTTTCCTTTTAAGATATTAGTTTTCAGTTTGGTTTGGTTCTAAAAGCTTCTAAACAAATGTAAATTATCTATACTAAATACTTGGTTTGCAACAACAACAAAACGAGTTAATTATGTTGTTACTTTTAATCTTCTAAAGTTATGCTAATGAAAACACTAATCAAAGATTGCAGTCACTACATTTTGAGTCCTTGCCTCTTGTAGGTGGATTTCATTGAGCAATAAGATTTATAACTTTATCGTGATGCAATGTATGTAAGGCTGAACTCATTCAGTTGCTAATGAAATGTGATCTGGGGACTCTTGCACCAGCTGGGTAATGATTAGGGCTTATCACAGATAGGTCTAGGAAAAGGCTGGGAAATACTTAAGCTTGTTTTGCAGTTGCTTTGGGCTCTTAAGAAAGGAGTAATTTTTCTGCAATATCAGCCTGAAGTTTTCTGCCCCTACAGGAGAGGTAATGATAAGGCTTTTAACTGATTTGCAAGTGATGATATGGTTATATGAAGTCTGATAAAATGCTACTAAATCTTTCTGGTTCAATGCCTTTTAAATTGTGAGATGGGTACTTTGTCTTCTCACTCAGCTCAAAGAAAATGTTAATGAAGCAACTGGCTTCAGAGAAACCTTGCAGAACTTGCTCATTGTGATGCCTCTTAACTTGAAATTCTGCTTTTAATAGTTGCTTGCTGGCACAAACAGCAACTCTGTGTAGGTTTCCCAAAGCAAGAAAGGGGATCCTAAAGGTAGTTTCTGCTTGTGGGGAAAACAAGGTATGGCATTTTATATAGCCTTTATCTCTTTGATATAACCAGAAGGGCCACTCAAACATCTAAATTACTGAATAATTTTAAAAATAATCACTGTAATAAAAAGGTAGCTCCTATCCTCGCAAAAAAAAAGTACTTTAAAAGCAGATGAAGTTAGACTGTGACTTCTAGAATATCTTGTCCATACATGCCATCAGCTGGGGGAAAAAAAGGGAAAAAAAATCTACAGTAAAATACCTGTCTCCTTAATGCAGACTGTAGCTGAGCTGCAAAGCAGATTTCTGTTCAAAGACCTCTCTGCAGGCAGCTACTATACTTCCTCCTTCTTTCTTTAGTAAGGGTGGCCTCCAGCTTCTCTTAAAAGAGAACTGCTGTCTATCAGCTGAAAACTGCACAACAACTTTTAAAAATCCATAGTTTTCCTGAACTGCCAGACTTCAGACAGGAGAAGTTTTTCAAAGTAGAGTGGAGAAACAAAACCTCAAATATAGCAGGGCATGGTAGAGAAAGCTTCCCCCTATTTTGATTTTATGTAGATTTTTTTTATAAAATACATGCAATTTTGATTCTTTTGTAGCTGAAAGGAAAATTTCTTGAGAGGTTTGTGTTTTCCAGGAATGTCTGTTATTCAGGTTGAATTCAGTCATTTTTGTAAAAGAAAGACATTTCTTTTTCCATTGAATCAAAGGCTTGCATATCTAAAATTTCCCTGCAAGTTGACAGTGGGTTCTATGGATTTGTTCTTGAAAAAGGCTTCTCCCTTGTCTCCCAGGATGTGTTCATGATATTTAAAGTAGGTATTTATGCATGGCTGAGGTTCTGTTGTGGGGGTTTTGTGGGATTTCTGGGAGTTTGTTTGGTTTCTTTTCTTTCAATGACAAGACTGGAAGTAACAAGCTTTTAACATCAAGGCACTGGGAAACACTTCAGAGTAGTGCTTGCTTTAGAGATGCAAGCATAAGTAGGCATTGAGATAAGGAGCCATCCAGAGAACTGATAGGTCAGCAAACCTCACGCTTACAGTTCAGGTCCTACTTCTTCCTTAATGATGTTATCTACTTATCACAGTCTCTTTGAAATAATTTAATTCTGTATTTGACTTAGGGTAAGAAGAAACAGTCATGAGACCTGTGCCTAATACAAGTCCTTTAAGAGTCAGCATTCTGCCCATATTAGCCAAGAACTAGATGTAGAAATGGATTTGTTCTTTTGTTTAACAGTGCCACAATCCAACTGGAGTTCATGTGACGCTGACCCAGACAGAGGGCACCCTGGCCCTGTCTGGGATGTCAGCCCAGACCAATGTACATGAGTGGCACCACTTCCAGCAGAGGTGCTGGGGCTGCACTTGACGCTCCTCAGCGGGGCTGGGCTGAGTTACAGCATTATGTGATGGTTGCTTTCCTTTGGGCCTGCACTGGAGGCCACAGGGCTCTTGGCCCACAGTATGCCAGGACAAGGCTCAGTGCTCTCCAGAGCACTTCCCTGACAAAGCCATGCTGGAGCTGACTGAGGACACTGTCTATCCTTCCTTACTGCTAAGTATAAGCCACTGGTTCCCTGGAAGCTCTGTGTAGCAACATGCAATAACCTGGGCTCGAGCAATTGCTTTACCACCACCTGCAGTGGGTGCCAGGCCTGGCAAGGTACCGTGCCTAACATGCCATCCTGCTACCAGCACACCTTCTAACCCAGTGGCTACACCAGCACTATTTGGCTGCACATTGCACGGCTCTCTGCAAAGCAGTCTGGCTGGAGGCTGCAGCATCAAATCCTGCTGTGCTCCCTTGCCTCAAAGAAGGAAATTGGGATGTAGCTTTATTGAAATATACCTCAATTTTGCTTTTTCTTCTCCTGCCAGTCCTTGCAAATAAGAAACAGTTAGGACAGTTGGATTGCTGAAAATTAGTTACATTCCAGTTAATGGGATTAGGAATTGGTTATGGCCAGATGCCCTTCTACAGGGCAGAAGAGCACTAAAGAGGAAAATATGGTACCCCAAGCACCCCGTGCTGAGTGAGGGTCAGATAAGCTGGAGCGTCCTGTGCCCCAGCTTTGCAAGGCCTTTGTCTGACCACAGCAGCCAGCAGAAAAATCCCAGGACAGGTGCTCAAACACTTCTTGTGGCTTTGCCACAAAGGCAGATACAGTTTTGTCTATTTCACATGTTTTTATGAACTAAGCTAAAGATTTCTTGTCCTGAGCTTTATTTTTGAAGACTTTACTTTTACTTCAGCTCTTAACTGTCTGGATGTGAGTGCAAACAGATACTTCAGGCAGACCTAGACATGCCAGTTAACTGTGCTGTATTCTGTAAGGAGGATTATTATGAGCTTTCTGTAACCTGTTTTCCTAGATATCTTCTGTGATTTTTTATACAAGAGGACATGAATATTTCAGGTGTTGTCACTGTACTTCAAGATTAGGCAGTCTTTGATATCTATTGATACCTTCCCAATCCCCAGGTGCAGGTTAAGGATTTTACATTACTCTGTTCAATGAAGATTGTTGCAAAAGCGCAGCACAACAAATGACATGCTTTATTCCTGCCTGTGAGGGCTAAGAAAGATTCACTGCAGCTCCCCTCCCTTCCATTTGTTATACAGCACTTCTCATTCTGACGGTGGTTCAGTTCCCGATGGAGGAGCAAAACGTTATCACAGAGGTCCCGGTAGCCCTACAGCGTCTGGCCAAGTATATAGTGCGTGGTTTCTACGGTGTAGAGTACGCCCTGGCCCTCGATATACTGATCCACTACTCCTGTGTGAAAGAGGATGACTTGCTACAGCTGCTCAAGTATGAACGTAAACAGCTGCGGACTGTCCTCAACACGCTCAGGGCAGACAAGCTGGTGAAAATGCGTATGAGAGTTGAAACAGGGCCTGGTGGGAAGAGCACAAGGCACAATTACTATTACATCAATTACAAGGTGCTGGTGGATGTGGTAAAATACAAACTGGATCATGTGCGCCGGAAAATAGAAGCAGATGAGCGGAATTCAACTACCAGATCCTCTTTTATATGTCCATCTTGCTCTAGCACTTACACAGACCTTGAAGTCAATCAAATCTTTGATGCATTTACAGGTATGTTACTTACATTGTTTATTTGCTGTTAGCTTAAAGAGTAACTGATAGCAGAAAATTGTCTCCTAGGCAAACTTTGCAATAGAAGCATGTTTGTTAGGATGTGCTTCTTGTTTGCTGGTGGACAAGGGTCTGGGACACAAGAAGCTGGGAGGTCAGGTCACGAGAATGCTGTCTCTGTAGAACAGGTCAAGTAAAAGGAAGAGTAATCTTGAATATATGAGCTGGGGTTGGGAATCAGATTTCAGGCCTCAGTTTTGCTTTTAATAGGACTCTAAACCTTGCTTAAGATTAGTCATCCAAGTCTTGTGAGTCCCACTTCCTCATACAGGAATGAGAACACAGTACTGGCTTTACCCTGGTGTGTGTTAGTTAATCCAGTTGTGTGTTCAGTAATTCTGATGGAAGAGTTGGACAAGATGGATAATAAGACTGTTTGCAGTCACCTACTGTAATAAGTGTCTTGCAGTAGGAGTTCTGTCACTCCTGGGTTGGGAAGTTCAGGCTCCTCCCGGGTCAACATGACACATCCACAATAGAAATGGTGTCAGAGCTTGTAGGTTTTTCTTCTCTAAAATGAAAATAACTAAACAGAGAGTAGTCTTTCAAAATGAGTTAAAATGGCATCATAGTGCAATACATTAAGTGCAGCTACTGTGCTGACATTTGGGACATGGTATCTGCAAAGGACGTCAGAGTCAGGGAGAATGAACTTCATATGACTTTCTCTCCTGAGACACTTCCTCTTGCATAGCAAATGTGTGAATACCAGTTTGTCTCAAGTTTGCCTGTAAAACTGAGTTTCCCTAGTTAATGTGAACAAATGAATAAGCTGCAATGTTTTGGTAACTGTCCAGGCTGTGGACTGCTTAGCAAAGTACTGCTGATCTTTTTGCATCCTGTGAACATGAGAATTTCCAATTTGCAAAATGTTGCAGAGACTTTCCACTGCACTTACTGCAACACTGAAGTGGAGGAAGATGCCTCAGTGTTCCTGAAGCGTGATGCTCAAACCTTGTTGGCAAAGTTCAATGAGCAGATGGAACCTGTCTTTGCACTGCTGCGTGAGACTGAAGATATTGTTCTGCCATATGACCTGCTGGAGCCTCAGCCAACAGAAATACCAGAATTATCAGAAAGGTATAAAGCCTCTAGAACTTCTGATCACTGCAAACCCCCCCAACAACTTTCCAGTTGTAAAATCTTTGAAATACTCAACTTGCAGCCTACTTTGTACTCCATTCTGCTCTGTTCTGTACAGTCTGCTGTTTAACGAAAAAGTCTGTAATATCTAAGGCATTCTAGATTATTGCTATGCACTTTTAATTTTATTTTTGCTACCTTTTTTATTTTTAGTAATTTATTTTCCAGATTTGTCCTTTGGCTAGTGCTTATAGCCCTTTCTGTGAGAAAGTAACATCTATCAGGGTGCTTCATAGAGATGCACTATTGAAAAGACCTTGCAAAAATCAATGGTTCAGAACCACTTGCCTCTGAGATGAGGTAACAGGGAATGAAATTGTTTTAATACAGAGCAGTTGTTAGTCTGTTGACAAAACGTTTTTGGGGTTCCTTTCGTTTGTTTGAGGTTGTTGTTTGTTGGTTTGGGTGGGGTTTTTTGGTTTTGGTTTTTGTTTTGTTTTTTTTTTTAATGGGAACTGAGGGTGTTCTTCCCTGAATTTTACCTGTCCAAAATGTGACACTCCATTTAGCTTTGATCAGAAGTTGGGCTCAAGTGCACTGGAATCCTGCAGCTGCCCTGAAAAACAGGCATACAGAAGTTCCTCTTTCAGCATTACGTACACCCAAAATGTAGTTATTGATGTCCAAGAGTCAAAGCAGGAAAAGAAAAGAGAAAAAACAACTACAGAGCAACCTATCTGGTTGTCACAGAGCACCGTGGAAGGAGCAACAATAGCCATCAACAACAGTGGTAAGTTTTAAGCATTAGCAAATAAATTTATCAGCCTTAATGCATTTAAATATAGCTTAGCTTTCTTATTGAAAATGCAGGGAGCTTGGTTTAGAAGACAGAGTAATGCTTCAACTCTGCACTGGTGGTTATCAGATATTAGTTTCTAGACACTAGCCTTCAGACTGATTGGGGTAGTACTCCTAAAGCCGGAGATCAGGTAACAGGTCCTGAAGCTTCTGGCTCTAGCCATGTAGTAACATTAGTGGTAATCTTTACAGTGGGAAGCTCTTGGAAATGTCTGTACTTTGAATAGAATTCTAGTGTGGCTAGAAAAGATTCAGGGTAGAAAAAGTCATCTATGTAGGATGTCTGTGGTAACTGTAAGCTACTGACCCCTCTAATACTGAGTATTGTGTATTAGGAGTAAATGCTTCTAAAGAAATTGAAGAAAGTCTTAAAGAAACTGTCAACAATAATGAAATCCTGAACACTCTTCTGATTCATGAATTGAAGTCATCATCTAGCACACAGCAGGCTCCTGTTGTCAAAAGCAAACTACATGAATCAGGCAGTGATAGCAGCGAGTTTGAAGAGGATGCCAAGTGCTCAAGAGGAGCAGGAATGAAAGCAGCAGAAGGGAACTCTGAACAAGAGGAACAGGAAACTCTAGGTCCCATTGTAATGGTAGCTGGACAGCCACATGCATATGCTGAAGTCAGTGAAAATCCAGAGCTTGTGTCTCTTATGACAAAAGAAGAGAGAGAAGCTTATATAAAAGTAGGACAAGAAATGTTTCAGTCTGTCTTTGAGTAAATGCTACTGTGTGAATATGCACACTTGTATAGAATGGGTGAAGGCTTCTAACTCATGCTCTTTAAAGTTTACCACTGAAGGGTTAAGTTTTGTCTGAACTCCTGGCTGTTTTGCAAGATAGTAATCTTGTAGTAGGTAACTACAGTTCAAAATACTAGCATTGCAGCCACAGCAACCCAAAATTACTATGTGTTTTCTGTTGTCTTAATGCTTAGACTTCGTAAGTGATGTAATTAGTTTTGGAGCATGAATCGGTTTAGGACACGTTGGGATCCGATTAAAATAATATTTCAAAAGCAATGATGCAATCTATTGTAAGAAAACAATTATTCCACCTTCCTCTCAGAAGTAGCAGTTATTTCCAATAGTGAAGTTGAGTCCAAGTCCAGTATGATTTGGTTTTGCTCTCTACCAGTCTCTGCTTTGCTAGGTCGCTCACTATAGAAGGGATAGTAAGGGATAGATGCCACACAACAATCTTCTTCCAAGGGAAGAGCTGTTAGTGAATTGCATTAGCATTAGATGAGAACCAGCTCTGGCCTTTTAAACTTTCATCCTAAAAATAATTATCACAATTCTTTGTACTCATTGCTCTACAGAACTGTCTCAAGTGATGAACTGTGCAATGGGCATTGAACAGTAAGATGTAACATTCACTTTGGTCCAGATCAGTACGGGAGAAAGCTGTGCTCTTTTTAAGCAAGAAACAAATTCTACTTGAATTGAGCTATATATGTAGTATGCCAGAAGGACTGGCATTAGAATGTAAGAGAGAGCTTAACTATTCAACAATTCTGCCACTTGAGGAAGGGATAATGAAAGCAGACTAGAAGAGCACAAAAAAACCCCACAGGAGGTTCCCTCTGAATATTAGGAAACATTGTACTGTAATTTAACATTGACTGAGCACTGGCACAGATTGCTCAGGGAGGTTGTAGCGTCCCATGGAGATATTCAAAAGCTGCTTAGACAAACATCTCTGAGTGGCCCTACCAGAGGAGGGGAGCTGGACAAGATGACCTCCAAGAGTCCCTGCTGACCTCAACCATTCTGTGATGAAACAGTGGAGAGGAATTATGACCAAAGAAATACAATTTCAGTGCATTTTTCCTGCACACACTGTATTAGTTTTGGTTGAGGTAATTTTCTTCATAGTAACTGGTGTTGGGCTGTGTTTTGGATTTGTGCTGGAAACACTGTAGATAACACAGGGATATCTTCATTATTGCTGAGAGGGGATTACACAGAGTCAAGGACTTTTCTGCTCCTCACCCCACCTTTCCACCAAGGAGGCTGGGGGTGAACAAGGAGGTGGGAGGGGACACAGCTTGGACAACTGACTGCCACTGACCAAAGGGATATTCCAGAGACCCATATGGCATCACGCTCAGCATACAAATCTCTGAGAAGGAGGGGTGACATTTGGAAGGATGGTCCTGCTCTACTGGAGACGGCCAAACATCTACCTGCCATTTTGCTTTGCTTGCATGCACAGCTTTTGCTTTAGCTCCTAAATTGTCTTTATTTCAACCCTATGAAGTTTTTTGCTTTCACTCTTCCAGTTCTCTCTCTGATCCCACTGGTGGGGAAGTAAGCAAGCAGCTGCTTGGTGCTTAGTCACTGGCTGAGTTTAAACTCCCACCCTTCCAGGGCAAGAATTCAGGAAGGGTGTGTGCTCATGCTCTTTCTTGAGCTTAGAATTTAATGATTCACCATATAAACTAAACTTGTTTCAAACCTGCACACATAATCTTGTTCTACTTCTTAAAGACATCCTCTTTTAGGTTTACTGAGTGATTCTTGGGCTAAGATAGTCATTAATAACTTTGACTGCTTCACGTTCACAGGTTTACCTTTGCCACAGTATATTTCGTGTCCTCAAGTTTAAAGTCTGTACAGTAACTAAACGGTATTCAAACCTTTTGCTAATAACTTTTGCCTTTGGACATCAGAGGCATGTGACCATGATCTGCCACTTCAAAATTGACTCATAACTCCTAGAAGCACTCCAAACAAACTAAAAAACAAAATCACAGAAGAACTACATTCTTATTTTATTTAGACTCCAGGCATATTTAGGCTTCACTGTCACTAGACTGTCATCCACAGTATAGAGCCATATTATCACACTAACCTCACAAACACCACAATCCTGAATTAAAGATGACCAGTAATGGTCATTAGCTACTGTGAAAAGCCTTGTGTTTAAGGTAAACAGGATGTCTCCAATGCAGCAGATCTGCTGAATAAGCTACTTTTACCTCAGTGGTTTTTGACTCAGTGTTATTAGCAACTCTGGTCTGAAAAAGTTAAGAAAGTTTCCCAGTCTACTTTTCTACAATTCTAATTCCACCTTTACCATTAGACTCCTGTTTTTTTAAAACATTAACTTTGTAAGGAAATTTAGGAAATTCCAATTAAAGTCAAATACTTTAGGAACAGATTCTACAGACTTTCAACTGCATCACTTTTAACTGTTAACTGCAAAAGGATACTGGCATTTTCAGACAGGCTTATTCCTTTAAACACTGGAAGTGCAAAACAAAAAATGCAGGAAAATACAGCTGGTTTCTGCAATTAACTACAAACCTGAGGTATTTTAGGCTCAGATAAATGTGCTGATACAAAGGAATTCCACAGGCCATGAACAGGAACTTTTTTGTTACAAGCCAGCTACACAACAGGCTATAAAGGCAACATGTAGGTATGTACTGTGTGTACACCTCCTATTTGCAGAAAATGGACACATTTAGTGGGACAAGAATCTCTTGTCCCAGGAAAATTAGAAGGGTTTCTTGTAAGAGAAGTAACAAACTGCTACAAGCATGCCAACACTTAACTTCCGGCAACAAGCTCAGCATACCGGTTTGCAAGCAAAAGGAAAATTTTTCAAAAGACAAAATTTACAGACAAGTCCAAACTTTATTTAAAACTACTATTTTGAACAATTTTAAAATTACTAAACAAGTCACAATAAAAAATAAAAAAAATAAGACAGAAAAAGAACAGTGCAGGAAAACTGAATAGAGGTGAATTCAGTTCCAGCTGTTTAAACTGCCACAGGCAGAAGTTCACATACCTATCCTAAGAGGCAGTGTGTCAAAAATTTTACATTTTTATACACTTCCAGATTTCTGGGAAATTAGTGGTGATCTTCTGTATTCATTTGTGTACACGGAGTTTATAAATGCAGATATCTTCAGGTTATTCTCATGCATTCAGAGTTCCAGAAGTTTCTGTGAAGTAAGAATACATTCGTCATTTTCTAATAGCTACAAGGCATCAAACACAGCTCATGACCAGAGTTCAACTCCTAGACCCCTTCAAGTACCCTGATGAAATATTTCATCCTCACAGGCATTTTGAGCCATGGATTACTTGAACAGCTACAGCCACCCCCAGACACACAGATTCGAATAGCTTGGTGCTGCCTACAAATCTGGTGTGGCATGGCATTCCCAGCCAGACTGCTCCCACAGCAGGCATACCCATCAAATGGGCATGACGGACTTATGCTGGCATAGCTGTGACAAGCAGAATGCTGGTAGGCAGTGAATGAAATGGAAGGAAAGGTGCACCTTTCTTCAAACTTTGTTCTGGAATGCTGTGACTGCAAATGCATTAAAAAAATATGTATTTGAGGAATTAGAACTAGCTACACTGCTACTATGAAAACACCCAATTCATGTCTTTATATACACCCTGACTGTATTCTCCACTGGAGAATTACAAGTCTAACAATACAATAGAAGTCTCTAATACTGCAATTTTGTCACAATATCAACACCATATAAAAAAAAAATAAAAATCTCTCTGACCTGCATTACCTTTAAGTTTTTGTAGCTGCATAAATACTGTTTAATAAAAGTGACAAGTTGTTATTGCTATCATACACACTGAAACTTTTTTCTACCTCATGTTATGCTTCATATGAAAAATAATTTCCTTTTCCCGGAAGAGATATTTTACTATTCTGAAAAGTTTCTTTTCTATCACAAAAACACTGAGCAGTCTGTCAGGAAATTACATTGAGCATTATTAAATCAGATAATAACAATTAAACCCAAGCTTGTGTAACACGAAACAAAAATACTACTCCACTTGATTTCAAAACCATTACATTGTGTCATGCACTTTACGTGTGTTAATTTTTAAGACTATCAGCGACAGAATCTAACAGAAGTATATAAAAGGGACATGGAAGGCAAAATCCCTTCATATCAATAAAGTATTTTCAAATGCATGATAACAAAAACCAATATTCTTTGGGCACTGCAATAACTGCTTACTTCAATAATATTTAAATTCTAGCATTGCAGAGTGTATTCCCAATTTGTGTGTAGGATTTAGAAAATAATCTTTACCAGGTTCTTTCAAAGTTTGGGCATCTCCTACTAATTCTTGATCTCGAGCTCCACCTCCACCCAGTAGTTCATCAGACAAACTGTTGGTTTGCGCCTCTGTTTCCATTTTCTTCATTAAATCTGCCTTCATAACAGAGAAAGAAAATCTCAGATTTCTGGATAATTCTTTGTGCTGTCTAGATAATAAAGACATTTAGGGTCTGCACTCCTAAACAACACCCCACAAATAGTAGCCAAATACCTCTGAATATACAGCAAGTTTGAGGGGCAAGTCTTCAACTTTCACAAAGTCATCTTCATCAGATTTTTGACTTACATTTCCAGAACCAGCTTCCTGTTAAGAAAAATAGTGGTATTTAAGAGAACAGTGCTATTTTGTTTTATTTTCACTTTCTGAATATTGAAGCACATCAAAAAAACCAATGCCCAACAAGACTGCAAAATAGAAATAACACTGAAATAGAAAAAAGTTTCTCATGTCTCTTGGATGTATCTTAACTGAAATATACGCACATATTCGTTCACCAGCACAGGGGACTCCGTGTCAGGGCTGCCAGCCATGGAGCTTTCGGAACTCGCACCGGATTTGTTTCCTGCACATGTGGTATCTAGCGTTTGTGTTTCATTTACTGGTAA